TATCTATATCTATCTATCTATCTATCTATCTATCATCTATCTATCTATCTATCTATCTATCTATCTATCTATCCACACCTTGCTCTTCTTTCTATCTATCTATCATCTATCTATCTATCTATCTATCTATCTATCTATCTATCTATCATCTATCTATCTATATCTATCTATCTATCATCTATCACCTATCATCTATCATCTATCTATCTATCATCTACCTTCCCCTCTGCAGTGAATTTCACTCTGGATCCAGACACCGCAAACCCCTTCCTCATCCTTTCCGAGGACCTGAAGAGCGTGAGAAGAGGGAGTCGATACCAATCCGTGCCCGACAACCCCGAGAGATTCGACATCATGATGAGCGTGCTGGGCCGCGAGAGATTTGCTTCGGGGAGGCACTGGTGGGAGGTGGAGGTGGAGGAAAATTTGGGGAGGTGGGCCGTGGGGGTTGCGAGAGAGTCCGTGAGGAGGAAGGGGCAGGTCCGCATAAGCCCAGACGAGGGGTTCTGGGCTGTGGGGAAGTCGTTCCACAACAGCCACGACTCATCCTCCCCGTGCCAAATTCTGGCTTTCACATCCCCAAAGCCAACCCCCTTGATCCTGAGGCGTAACAAGCTCAGGAAGATCCGAGTGTCCCTCAGCTACGAAGAGGGTCGTGTGGAGTTCTTCGACGTCGATTCGGACGACCTGATCTTCGCTTTCCAGCTGGCCTCGTTCTCTGGGGAGAAGATCCTCCCCTTTTTCCGGGTGTGGAGAGGGGTCAGGTTGAAGTGCTGAGTTCTAAGGGCGAATCTTCCCCCATCTCAGCCACAATAACTTCCACCATCCTGAAAGGAGGTGACGTTCTAGCGCTTTCTCTACACCCAGGCAAGGAGCTTACGGTCTTAGCGGCTTCCCAACCGTTAACTTCCATTGGCGATGAGAGAAAACAGAATCAATGTAAAAACATAAATGAAACAGGTGGGATTAGAGACTCCCTACACTGGGCATGGGGAACCAGTGGCCCTCCAGAGGGTGCTGGGCTCCAGCTTCCCTCAGCCCCAATTAGCTTGGCGAATGGTGAGGGATTATGGGAGTTGTAGTCCCAACAACTGGAGGGTCAGAACCTCCCCAATCCTGCCCTACAGCTTCAGTCCTGTCTGTTATTTAAAACCTTTTCTTCCCCCAGCTATATGTTTTTGGCAGGGGCTTTAGAAGACACACCAAAGGGGGGAAAGTTCAGCTATGGTGGACTTCTGTTTATTAATGATTCCACTTTTCTACCATAAGGCGGCTTGTGTGGGATTTGTAGTAGTCGCCCACAGATCAGTTGCAGAGCTGCTTGGCTTCAACTCGTGCGCTTCAGTTACTGCAGCTCCATCGATTGAATCGTGCCATTCAGGAGTCAAAGCGGGAAAACGTGGTCCTGCCTCTGGAGAGGGGAGGTCCATCTGCGTCAGCCTAAGATGGGGAATCTTGATTCCCTTGTATTGCAAATCAGGCTTTGTAGGAGTCCAATGACATTGAGTTCCCCTATTCCCTGCTAGGAATTGAACTGCAACTGGAAACCAGAAGTGATGAGTGTGGGTGAAGCTTTTTGATAATATCTCTTTGGGGCCAGGTAATGTGCTAAGCTTTCCGGAGGCCATTTTTGTTCTGATGGCAAGTTAGACAGGAGCCCTTTGTGAGCATTGACAAGAGGACAAGGCATAGAGATCAAGCCAATTAGGTGATGGTAGCTTTTTCCTCCCCACCCCCCACTAAATTTTTATTATTCTCTTTACACAATCATTCTTACAATACAATACATTAATCAGCATATAAACATTTTTGCTCTGCCGAGCTTGCAACTTCCCTCCTTCCCTTCAGCCAGTATCCCTTATCAAATCCAATCGCGTATTTTAACTTTTTACTTCTTATCTGCATTGTAGGAGTTATATCAGTCCTGCTAGTGTCTTTAAAGTTCTACAGTTATCCTTTAAGTACCGTATTTTTTGCTCTCACTTTGCTTTCACTCCGCAGCGATCCCTCTTGCTGTTCTGGCTTCTGAGATTCAGAATATTTTTTTTCTTGTTTTCCTCCTCCAAAAACTAGGTGCATCTTGTGGTCTGGTGCATTTTATAGAGCGAAAAATACGGTATACAATAAATTTACTCCCATAGCTTTTTCCATAGCGCAGGGAACGTGGAGACATTTCCATCTTTAAAATCAGAGGTACCTCCGTCTTTGAGATGGACCTTAATTTGCAGACATCTTCTATTTGTGCTGTTTTCTCCTGCGTATCACTGGCATGTTGTTTACAGTGCCAAGTCCTGTAGCATAACATAAATAAAAATCAGCTTGGCAAACACTTCTGACAATCTTAGGCTTTTTTCGCTCTCTGGTTATGCTTATTGTGGGGGCGGGGGAGAGACTGGAAGCTACGTACTTCATGCAATAGTTTTGCTTCTAATTTTCAGTTGTTTGGAGGCTGGGAATGTAAGTACAATCTGTTGGCAGGAAGGCTGACAGAATATAAGGCATGTGTACAGGGTGTTGGAGGAGACTCTTGAGAGTCCAATGGACTGCAAGAAGATCCAACCTATCCATTCTGAAGGAAATCAGCCCTGAGTGCTCACTGGAAGGACAGATCCTGAAGCTGAGGCTCCAATACTTTGGCCACCTCCTGAGAAGAGAAGACTCCCTGGAAAAGACCCTGATGTTGGGAAAGAGGGAGGGCACAAGGAGAAGGGGACGACAGAGGGCGAGATGGTTGGACAGTGTTCTCGAAGCTACCAGCATGAGTTTGACCAAACTGCGGGAGGCAGTGGAAGACAGGAGTGCCTGGCGTGCTCTGGTCCATGGGGTCACGAAGAGTCGGACACGACTAAATGACTAAACAATAACAACAACAACAACAGGGCCAGCCACCGTGAATTAGCCACCGCGAAATAGGATGCTAAGTGCTGGATCTCTTGAGCTTTTTTTATCCACCAGGTGTGGATCCAGAATTGGCCTCCACAGCCACTTACGGACTCATTTTTAAAACCGTGTTTATGGAAGACAATCTTACTCGGCTACGAGTGATCGCCAAAGAAGAAGGTGAAGAAGAAGAAATGAGGATGCTAATTAATGTATAAAGCACCACATTTCTCAAAGTGCAAAGAACTGCAAATAAGAATCTCAGAGAACTGCTGTTTTCTTTTGTACAGTGGTACCTCGGGTTAAGAACTTAATTCGTTCTGGAGGTCCGTTCTTAACCTGAAACTGTTCTTAACCTGAGGTACTGTAGCCTTATGAGGCTTTGCCCTCGGGTGGGAAAAATATTGCGCCTGGGAAAGGGAAGTGGGAGTCAACAGACACTCAAGGAATAGTTTCGGAGAAAAAGGTTTTATTTCTACCATCCATGAACTGGTAGAAGGAGCAAGTGTGATAAGTCACAAAAAGCATGCACGAGTTCACAATCATGTGCACAAGCATATATACCCCTTTCTAGTTCCCTCCCCCTTTCTCCTCCCTCAGGAGTCCTGCCCCATGTTGAGGTTCCTCTGAGCATAAACAGAAAGCTGTCTTGGAACTATTGTGGACTCTTGGCAGGAAAGGGGGTGAGGGGGTTTTCAGAGTGTTCCCGTTGTTTCATTCTTGTGCTTTGGCATGGTTCCCGGAGAGAAAGCAAGTTGCAATGTGGTTCTGAGAAAGGCCTGAGAAGACAATGGGCTCTGTTCTCTACCTTGTTGCAATCTTTTTAGTTACAGCAAGTGGGATGTTTCTGATGCTTAGCTGCTGAGGAAATTATTTTGAAAAGCTTTGAGAAGCTTTGAGCCTGCTTGGGGGGGGGGGTGACTTCGGGCCTAGGTGAGGTCACCTGTCCTCACCTTCCTTCAGTACCACTTTAGCTAATGGGGCCTCCCACTGCCACCGCCATGCGATTTCTGTTCTCATCCTGAGGTAAAGTTCTTAATCTGAGGTACTATTTCTGGGTTAGCGGAGTCTGTAACCTGAAGCGTCTGTAACACGAGGTACCACTGTACTGTAGTTCCATAATGAAATGCCCAAAATGAAGGCAGGCTCACAAGGGGGAGGAGTCACCCCTGCAAAGTGCATTTCCTTAAGAACGTAAACAGTTCCCTCAAAACCCCTGTTCCAAGTCTCTTCTCCCTCACCAGCCAGTAGAAACTGTGCCCTGTTTTCTCATCACTGCCATTCCTGCACATGGCCCACCTGGCTACCTGTCTTGGGGGCACGTGCAGAGTGCAGAGGAGGCTTAGCTCTCAGCAGCAGCAAAACTGAAGAGGGAGCAAAAGGCCCAAGATCTTCTCTTATCCAGGAGGCTGCATGCTTGTGCATTTGGGCAAGCCATGGTTTGGTTTAGTGCTGGTTCTGCTCCTGAACATTGTGTGTCGTCCTGTCATGGCTAAAATGCATCTTTCATCCTCATATGTGGTTTTCATTAGTCTCATGAGGGAAATTCCTCCAAACCGTGGCTTTAAAAAGGAATAGGGAAGAGGAGCCAGTAAATAACTTGTTAGGTTTAGACTGGCAGACACTACAGGACGCTGGTGCAAACGTCAAATTTGACCAAGTTGTGCACAAAAGAAATCTGAAACAAACTATATCTCTGCATATAACAAAGTAGTAACTCAGCTCCTAAGAACCAATTGCATCTGAGTGGGTTCTCGTTTCTTTGTGAAGGAAATCAGCTTTTCTTTCAAGAAGTGCCTGAAGTGGAAAAGGAAAGGCCTTTGGCTCAGTCCTTCCTGCATTCAGAAAAATTGGCTTGTTCTCTTTCTATGAGGAGCAGGAGATAAGTTACAGGAACCCTTCATCTCGCTGTTTATGATGATGATTTCAATTTACAGTGGTACCTCGGGTTACAGACGCTTCAGGTTACAGATGCTTCAGGTTACAGACTCCACTAACTCAGAAATAGTACCTCAGGTTAAGAACTTTACCTCAGGATGAGAACAGAAATTGTGTGGCGGCAGCAGGAGGCCCCATTAGCTAAAGTAGTACCTCAGGTTAAGAACAGTTTCAGGTTAAGAACGGACCTCCGGAACGAATTAAGTTCTTAACCCGAGGTGCCACTGTATATGCCTCCTTTTATCAAAAGTTCCCAGGGAAGTGTGCAACATTAAAAACACATTACAGAACATCAATGATAAAAACATACTGAAAATTATGCTGACAGACAGCTTAATACAACCTTTTGTATTAACCAAGTTGTTTTGATGCCTGAAGCAAAAAACAAACAAAACAAAAAACACCACAAATGCTTTCCCAGGGAGTACAAAATACAATGAAAACAAAATTACGGTAAATAACAGATTTGCTACCCAAAATCAAACAGCATCTCTCACTGCATCTGACTGTAAGCAGGATTTTCCCTGCTTACCTAAAAGAGAAATTCCCTAAGTGTCTGCGCACACAAACACACACACCCTGCTAGTTACGGTATATAATTCTTGGTCAGGAAACCTGAAAGCGAAACAAAAACACTTGTTTTGTTCAGTTGCTTCCTGCTGCTCTCAGATTCCTCCGCCATCCGGTGTCGGTGGCACAAAGGGAAATGCCAGGCCTTTATTGCATCAAAAGGAGCTTGAGTTAAGAATTGCTGCTGCTGCTGCTGCTGCTGCTGTTGTCACTTGGAGACAGGCTTGGAAGAGGAGGAGATGGAGGAGATGGAAATGTGCGAGAAGCACCGTGAGCCCCTGAAGCTCTTCTGCAAAGACGACGAATGCCTCATCTGCTTGGTCTGCGACAGAGCCAAGGAGCACAGAGGACACAACGTGGTCCCTGCAGAGGAAGCTGCCCCAGACTACAAGGTAACGGTATTCACCGTGACAGAAGGTCAGGGAAGAAAAACATTTGGGATGCCCCCAAAGAAAGGACATTACGGGGGGGGGGGGGAGGCTTCAGTGGGATTTGAACAGAACCTCTGTTAATTGAGTACTTTCAATGCTTTCAATAATTTTGGTAGATCTAAGCCCATGGATGTAGCCAAGTGAGTCCGTAAGTGACTGTGGAGGCCAATTCTGGATCCGTACGTCCACAGTGGGGACATAGGTTTCTGGGCAGGAGTTGATCCTGGCAAGGGTTTGACAAGCGTTCCTTCCTCTTAGCCCATTTCTCCTTTTTGTCCTGAGTTCGGGCGTCTTCAAAGTCCACAACGCCTTTGGTAAAGAACCACGTAAGTAACGTGGAGAAAAAGGTGGTTTAAATGCAACAAATCAGTCAAAATGAATAAAGCAGTACAGTGGTACCTCGGGTTAAGAACTTAATTCGTTCTGGAGGTCCGTTCTTAAGCAGAAACTGTTCGTAACCTGAGGTACCACTTTAGCTAATGGGGCCTCCCGCTGCCACCATGCCACCGCCACGTGATTTCTGTTCTCATCCAGAAGCAAAGTTCTTAACCCAAGGTACTATTTGTGGGTTAGCAGAGTCTGTAACCTGAAGCATCTGTAACCTGAAGCATCTGTAACCCGAGGTACCACTGTACAGTGGTACCTCTGGTTACGAACGCTTCAGGTTACGAGCTCCACTAACCCAGAAGTGGCTGTTCCTGGCTGCAAACTTTGCCCCAGGATGCGAACGGAAATTGCGCACCTGAGGCGCATGCTCAGCAGGAGACCCCATTAGCGACAGCACGCCTCAGGATAAGAACGGTTTCAGCTTAAGAACAGACCTCTGGAACGAATTAAGTTCGTAACAAGAGGTACCACTGTATCAGAAGACTTTGAACAGTCATGGTTTCCCCCAAAGAATCGTGGAACTGCGGTTAAGGGTGCTGATAGTGATGCGGGACCTCTATAATAATAATAGTAATAGTAATAATAAATAATTTATTATTTATACCCCGTCCATCTGGCTGGGTTTCCCCAGCCACTCTGGGTGGCTTCCAACCGAATACTAAAAACAATACAGCGTCAGACATTAAAAACTTCCCTAAACAGGGCCGCCTTCAGTTCTAATACAATACTCTCCTCACAGAGCTACAATTCCCAGAGTAACCATCCCTCTTCCCAGGGAACTCTTAGCTTTATCTCTTTTCCACCTCAGCAGATTTTTCCGATGTCCTTTTGTGCTGTATATCTCTTCTCTGCAACACACACAGAAGAAACTTTGCTTTTAGATTCCATTCCTACTGCCTATAAAAAATTCTCACAGGTTTAGGATTCACTGTCTGTGCTGAGCTTTCTGCATACATTTTGTGCAGCTTCCAACTAGTTTTTGGAAGATTTTACTTCTCATCACGATACAGAAGTGTTCGTCGTCATCGTCGTCCCGACCGCCACCACCGCCACCCTGAGCTTCAGGCTACGGACAGCTTTGAACAGATGATATAGAATTTTGTTCCTGGTTCACAATTTTATCTTGAAACACTCCCCCCCTTTTTTTCTTTTTTTTTGTAATTCTACTGGACCAACTTTCTCTTTGATTTTTTTCTGGATGCCAGAATGATCTCTAGTAACATATATCTAACAACACAGAAAAAACAATGCTGTCCAGGGTTGTAAAGACTGCGGAGAGAATAATTGGGTGCACTCTTCCCACCTTGGATCAAATCTATGCTGTCAGGTGCCATAAGGAAGCTGCAGAGATAGCGCAGGATAGTGCGCACCCCTGAAATGATCTCTTTCAGCTTCTGCCTTCTGGAAGAAGGTATAGGGTTATAAAGACCAGGACTAGCCACCTGAGAAACAGTTTCTACCCAAATGCAATTCTGGTTCTAAACTCAGCATAAGGAATCTTTATAGTTTATTGCATTTTAAAATTGGGTTTCAGAGTTTTTAGGGGTTTTCAAATGTTTTATGTAGATTTCCAGTTTCATTGTTCTGTATGGGACAATGACAGTAAAGATATCGTATATCATATAGAAGCAAGTTTCTAGGAATTTCACTATGTTCTTAAACTAAAAGGCCAGGTAAAGGTAAAGGTAAAGGGACTCCTGACCATTAGGTCCAGTCGTGACCGACTCTGGAGTTGCGGCACTCATCTCGCTTTATTGGCCGAGGGAGCCGGCGTTTGTCCGCAGACAGCTTCCGGGTCATGTGGCCAGCATGACTAAGCCACTTCTGGCGAACCAGAGCTGCGCACGGAAAGGCCGTTTACCTTCCCGCCGGAGTGGTACCTATTTATCTACTTGCACTTTGATGTGCTTTCGAACTGCTAGGTTGGCAGGAGTAGGGACCGAGCAACAGGAGCTCACTCCGTCGCGGGGATTCGAACCGCCGACTTTCTCATCAGAAAGTCCTCGGCTCTGTGGTTTAACCCACAGCGCCACCCGCGTCCCAAAGGCCAGGTAGTTAATGGGATAATGTAGTAAACTTTTAACTAGAGTATTGGTGGTGTTTAGCTAGTCCAGTGTAGGATTCAGCAATGGATAAGTTGCAGCTAGTTTTAATCATGCCTATTGCAATCACCACTTTATACTCTCATTTCTCCAAGTTCCATCTGTGTACAACGTGCTGTCGATTTCTCTTTGACATTATAACTTTGATGTCTTTCATAGGCTGAAATGCACTCACTGCTCTTCTGCTGGTGTATTTAAAATTAATCTTTCCAAACAGATTGTAGCCTCTTGGGTCCTGTTTGATCACCAACCTCATTTTCAATCTCTGCTGCATTTGGGGGCCACCTTGTTCCTTCTGCTGGGTTGGGCCTCTGGACTTTTGCCCCGGCGGCACCATTCGCAGTGTTGAGAACTTAATCGGTTCATGTTCACAGACTGTTATATATAACACATCCTGCCAAACATTTGCTTGTGAGCGTTCATTTCTTCCTGACTGCTGTTTGCGGTTCCAGACCGGAAAACCCAATTGTGTGCTTGCCCAAGATATGCAGATACACAAAAATCCAGACACACAGAGGCTGACAAGATTAAATATTTTTAACCACTGTTGATTTTAATGAACTTTTGAATAGTTTCATACCCGTTTTTATCCACTGATTGGCAATTTTAAAAGTTTTCTATTGTTGTAAAGTACCTAGAGGTGGGTTTTTGTTTTGTCTTTTTACAGTCAAGAGGGTAGATAAATTTTGTAAGTAAGCAAGTAAATGAAATCAGCTATTACATTTAACAAGTAAAATGAAAAAAGTAATGATAGACAAATAATAATAGACCAGATGACTGGCTGGCCAATAAATCTTTATTACAAGGATAGGGAGACTGGATTTGAGGTTGTTGGATTCCAGCAGTAATAATAATAATAATAATAATAATAATAATAATAATATATTACTTATACCCCACCCATCTGGCCGCCACTCTGGGCGGCTCCCAACAGAATTAAAAGCACAATAGAAGATCAAACATTAAAAACTTCGCTAAACAGGGCTGCCTTCAGATGTCTTCTAAAAGTCAGATAGTTGTTTATTTCCTTGACATCTGATAGAAGGATGTTCCACAGGGCAGGCACCACCACCGAGAAGGCCCTTTGCCTGGTTCCCTGTAACCTCATTTCTCGCAGTGAGGGAACCGCCAGAAGGCCCTCGGAGCTGGACCTCAGTGTCCGGAAAGAACGATGGGGGTGGAGACGCTCCTTCAGGTGTACTGGGCCAAGGCCATCAATCCCAGGCCAGCATGGCCAATGGTCAGGCATGATGGAAACTGTAGCTGAACATCTGAAAAGTCACAAGTTCTCCTTCTGTCCTTTAACATTTTCCTTCTCTGTCGTCTGTCTCTCTTCTTTAGAAATCAGCTCTGCCACTTAAACCCTTCCATTTCCAAATAGTTCTGCCTTTACATCCCCAGAAACTCCAGCGGGTGCAGAATGCCGCGGCGAGACTCCTTGCGGGGTCCTTGCTGCGAGATCACATTCACCCGGTACTATACCAGCTGCACTGGCTCCCGGTGGAGTAGAGGATCAGGTTTAAGGTGCTGGTTTTAACCTTTAAAGCCCTATACGGCCTAGGACCCTCGTACCGACGAGACCGCCTCTCCTGGTATGTCCCACGGAGGAACTTACGGTCTTCAAATAAAAACATCTTGGAGATCCCGAGCCACAGGGAGGTTAGGCTGGCCTCAGCCAGAGCCAGGGCTTTTTTGGCTGTGGCCCCAATCTGGTGGAACGCTCTGTCACAAGAGACTAGGGCCCTGCGGGACTTGACATCTTTTCACAGGGGCTGCAAGACAGAGCTGTGCCACCAGGCCTTTGGTCAGGGCACAGCCTGACTCCCTCCTTTGGTTGCCATCAATTTGATTTTAATTAATTTTTAGAATGAAATGTTTTTAGAATGCTGCACTATTTTACTGTTGTTAGCCGCCATGAGCCTGGCTTCGGCTGGGGAGGGCAGGATATAAATAAAAATTATTATTATTATTATTATTATTATTATTATTATTATTATTTCTATTTCTTTCCCTACACTCCTGAAATTGCAGTTCGGCAGAGAAGGGCTCAGGAGTTCAGTTGGCATTGGAATGTAATGTAAAAGTGCTGTCTAAAATGTATAAAATATTGTTGGAATGGGTGACAAAGGATGAGCAAGTAAAATCCTCAATGATACACTGGGCAATAGATATCGGTCATAATATAGACATGGAAGCATGGGAATGATTGTGGAATAGGGATACAAAATTTACAGCATGCTATGGTTTAAGAGAAAATTATTTGAAAATGATATATTGATGCTATCTAACACCGAGTAAACTGGCAAAATGTATAAAAAAATTAAGTGTTGGAAATGTAAAGAGAAAGAAAGCTCTTTTTATCATATGTGGTGCTCTTGCAGTAAGGTTAAGGCTTACTGGGAAATAATATACAATGAAATGAAAAGGATGTTTAAAATAACATTTGTTTTAAAAAAGCAATTATTATTATTATTATTATTATTATTATTATTAATTATTATTATTATTATTATTTATACCCTGCCCATCTGGCTGGGCTTCCCCTGCCACTCTGGGCAGCTTCCAACCAAATATTAAAATACAAGCCTTTCTCTTGAGAATTATAGGGATAGAACTACCTAAATTATATAGAAATTTATTTACCCTATTTTTCACTCTATAACACACACCAGACCATAACACGCAAGTAGTTTTTAGAGAAGGAAAACAAGAAAAAAAATATTCTAAACGAAATAGTGGATATATGATTTTTGTGGTTCATGCTGTGGCCACAGACATGTGATCTGACAGTGAGTTTGGAGTAGCCCAATGCAAAAATCCTGAGGATCCATGTGGATCCATGCTTTGTAACCACGGAGGAGGGAAGGAAGGGGAACCATGGATCCTCTGCTCACGACTGCAGCAGATCCCCCCCCCCCCGCCACCCGCAGGCATTCGCTCCATAACACGCACAGACATTTCCCCTAACTTTCTAGGAGGAAAAAAGTGAGTGTTATGGTGCAAAAAATACGGTATGTATGCGACTACAGCGGCAAGAATGCTTGTTGTTGTTTAGTTGTTTAGTCGTGTCCGACTCTTCGTGACTCCATGGACCAGAGCATGCCAGGCACTCCTGTTTTCCACTGCCTCCCGCAGTTTGGTCAAACTCATGTTCGTAGCTTCGAGAACACTGTCCAACCATCTCGTCCTCAGAATGCTACTTGCCCCAAAATGGAAAGAAGCAGAAGTCCCAGCAAAGGAAGAATGGATACAAAAACTTTTGGAATATGCAGAAATGGCAAAAATTACCTGAAGAATAAGAAATCAAGATAAACTTTTTATAAAAGAATGGAAATGGTTTATTGAATATTTTCAGATAAAAACAGTGGCAGGATTATTGTAATAACCTGCAGCTACATAAGAGTATATTTATAAAGAAGATAAATAAATGAGCAAATTAAGTTACTTTGGATATGCAGAAGATATTAAAAATAAATTTAAGGAACCACAGAAAAAGGGGGAAGGAAGTCAAGTTTTAAGATGTCAAAATGACTCTAAGATCAGTGAAATGTATACAGTGGTACCTTGGGTTACATACGCTTCAGGTTACATACGCTTCAGGTTACAGACTCTGCTAACCCAGAAATAGTGCTTCGGGTTAAGAACTTTGCTTCAGGATGAGAACAGAAATCGTGCTCCGGCGGCACGGTGGCAGTGGGAGGCCCCATTAGTTAAAGTGGTGCTTCAGGTTAAGAACAGTTTCAGGTTAAGAACGGACCTCCGGAACGAATTAATTTCTTAACCTGAGGTACCACTGTATATCTGAAAAGTATAAATAAATTTTAAAAAAGATTTTAGTTGGCATCTCTTGCCCCTCCCTGGAAACAATGGCATTTGGGCAGTGGGGAAGAGGGATTTGCTCACTTGGCTACATGATGTTGTGCATTTTCTGTTTGTTTAGGAAGAAATTGAGGGCCACTGGAAGTCTGTGGAGCTCATGAGAAAGAATCTTGAGGACCGTGTATTGGCCGAAGAGCTGGGAAGCCAAGAATGTCTGGTAAGGGTTTGTTGTTATTATGGCATACACCTGGGGTCAGCAATGCAGAGCTTCAGGGAGGCAGCATGCCCACCCTAAACTTCTGTGGCAGCTGTGAAGGGTCTCAGAAACCCCCTCAGAAATCCTGGATGCCCCATGGAGAAAGCAGTGGGTGGGAAGCAAGGCTGGTCAAATGTTGCTGAACCACAGGCAGATCCAAAGCGAGCACTTCTGAAGGCAGCCCAGTTTCGGGAAGTTTTTTAAGTTCTGATGTTTTGCCGTGTTTTAATATGCGGCAGCTAGACTGGTGACTGGGAGTGGCCACCGGGACCACATAACACCATAGTGGTCAACTGTCCCTTATTTGGCGGGAAAGTCCCTTATCCCAGCGCTGTGTCCCGCTGCTGTCCCAGATTGATGATGTCCCTTAAATTTCCCAGGTTTCCGGCCAGGGAGGAGGGAGGCTTCAAGTGTGTTGCTTGGCTGCATTGCTCATCCAATAAGGAGTCTAAGAATGACTGGGGGGTGGAGTTTGCATGCCTTGTGCTGATCAAATCGGCCGCATTGCCTGGGGACTCGCCTTTGCTCAGCGCTTCCCAGCGGAGAGGTGATGGTGGTTTTCCTTGCTGCATCCCCTTTGCCGGGTTGCTGCGCTGTGGGAACCACCGCTTGAGGCTTCGTTTGGCTGCTGGCTGGGCTTTCTGCCTTTGGCTCGGAGGGGGTCAAAAGTTGAACATACCTGTGTTTGGAAAATCCCTTATTTTGGCTGCTGATCCCTTATTTTTGAGGCTGCTGGTCCCTTATTTTCAAATCTGTAAGTTGACAGCTATGCGTAACACCGGTCCTGAGAGATCTGCATTGGCTCCCAGTACGTTTCCGAGCACAATTCAAAGTGTTGGTGCTGACCTTTAAAGCCCTAAATGGCCTCAGCCCAGTTTACCTGAAGGAGTGTCTCCACCCCCATCATCCAGCCCGCACACTGAGGTCCAGCTCCGAGGGCCTTTTGGCAGATCCCTCCCTGCAAGAAGTGAGGTTACAGGGAACCAGACAGAGGGCCTTCCTGGTAGTGGCGCCTGCCCTGTGGAACGCCCTCCCATCAGATGTCATGGAAATAAGCAGCTATCTTATTTTTAAAAGACATCTGAAGGCAGCCCTGTTTAGGGAAGTTTTTAATATTTAATGCTGTATTGTTTTTAACACTTGATTGGGAGCTGCCCAGAGTGGCTGGGGAAACTCAGCCAGATGGGCGGGGTATAAATAAATTACTATTATTATTATTATTATTATTATTATTATTACTCATGCATTCTCCATGAATGATCCTCATCTTCCATCTGGTTTTCCTTCCCTCATTTCACTCTTTGTATGTTTGCCTCCTAGGCAAAGTTAGAAGCCGAGGCAAAGAAAGTCAAGTCTTCCTTTCATCGGATGTGCAGATTGCTCGAAAGAATCGTGCACCTCAAGCTGAGCCAGATGGAAGATCTGAAGAAAGAGATCAATAAGAGGCAGCAAGAAAACGTCAGCAGGCTCTCTGAGGAGATCTCCCACCTCAACGATATGATCGTCGAGATGGAGGAGAAGTGCCAGCAGCCGGTCTGTGGATTCCTTCAGGTGAGACATGAGACCAAGACATCTCCCAGCAGTTCCTACACGAGAAATGTAGACCTGCTGCCTACCAGCCCTGTTTAGGAAAATATAAACTGCCATTTGGACATTAAGGATTAGAGCAAGGCTTTCTCTCCATCAACAACATCTTGTCAAGAAACAAATGTTATTGCTCGTTATTACTTCTTAGTATTTACAGTGGTACCTCGGGTTAAGTACTTAATTCGTTCCGGAGGTCCGTTCTTAACCTGAAACTGTTCTTAACCTGAAGCACCACTTTAGCTAATGGGGCCTCCTGCTGCTGCCATGCCGCCGGAGCACTATTTGTGTTCTGATCCTGAAGCAAAGTTCTTAACCCGAGGTAATATTTCTGGGTTAGCGGAGTCTGTAACCTGAAGCATATGTAACCTGAAGCGTATGTAAACCTGAGGTACCACCGTAATAGATTTTTACCAGAATGTGGAATGGGGACAGACTTCCATTTTGTCCTTCACCTCAGGCCCTAGTTCTTCCATAGAAGGGGGAAAGGACTCTCCACAACAACAAAGATCAGGCCAGTATGTGTGCTGGCTGTGTAACTGAGACCTATTTCTCTGTTTCAGGACATCAGAAGCGACTTGAACAGGTATGTGGCTTTCTCCTACCATCTTTTGCATTTCATCTCTGGTGGGATTCCATTTTAAAAGCAAACAAACACATTTCTGTGGAGCGCTGCCAAGTGCTAGATTTCTACCTCAGCGTTGCTGAGGAACACAAATGGGGCAAATGACAACCCTCTGAAGATGCCTGTTGCTTGATACAGAAAGGCAGAACACCTTCCACACGACCCAAAAGCTTACACTACAGTCAACTGTATTCCTAAACTCATTCATTCCTGAATTTGAATCCATTGGTTTGGGTCCTACTCTCTGGAGCAGCAGAAAACAAGTTTGCTCCATCTTCCATTTTGACAGCCCTTCCGATATCAGTCTTCTCTTCTTTAGGCTAAACGTACCCAGTTCCCTCAACTGTTCCTCATAAGCCTTGGTTTCCAGACCCTGCGAGGAAAATTAACTATGAACCCCCAAAACTGGGATTGTCTCCAAACCTGTGCCAAAGTTTTGCAGGGTGGTTGTTGTTTTTAGCGAAAACCCTGCCAAATTTGGGATCCCTTCCTAACCGGTGCCAAACTGTTGCAGTTGTTTTGCAGTGGAACCCTCATGTTTTGCAGCACCCCACAAACTGAGCAATTGATACATCAGACACAGGGTTCGTACCTAACTACAAACCCGACCAGGAGGAAGTTTATCTTGTTTCTCCATTTAACCATGAATTCAATTAGAGCAGCATTTTCTTGTAAAGGAATTCCATGTTCAAATGGCAGGCTGAGGCATCAACTCACGAGTAAGATCTACTCTCAACTACATGTGAGGCTTCAGCACTGGAGGTGGGCCATCCCTTAAATGTTAACCATCTTCCCTTCCAGATATGAAAAGGAACAAGTAAGGGATGCAATTGAGCTTTCTCCTGGATTGGAAGAGGCGGTTGGAGTTTACTCAGAGAACAGCTCTGCTTTAGGAATTGCTGTGGAGACATTTAAAGGTACTGGGAACAAGGTCAGCGGTTTGAATCCCCACAACAGAGTGAGCTCCTGTTGCTCTGTCCCAGCTCCTGCCAACCTAGTAGTTCGAAAGCACACCAGTGCAAGTAGATAAATAGGTACCACTGCGGCAGGAAGGGAAACGGCCTTTTCATGCGCTCTGGTTTCTGTCACGGCGTTCCGTTGCACCAGAAACGGTTCAATCCTGCGGGCCACGTGACTTGGAAAGCTGTGTGTGGACAAACGGCAGCTCCTTCGGCCTGAAAGCGAGATGAGCGCTGCAACCCCAGTTGCTTTTGACTGGACTTAACCATCCAGGAGTCCTTTACTCGTTTTTACCTCACTGGGATGGGAACAACTCTGGAAGGCCAAGGGAGACAGATGTCTGTGGGTGCTCTACTCAGTTGCACAGCTGATGTTAGTGAGAGAAAGGGAGGGAGGCATCAACAGTGTCCATTGGAGTCTTTTATCAGGTGCTTGGTTGACATGTAATGTGACAGTGCCAAATGTATCTGAGTAAATGGATAACTCTTTCCTCCACATAACAGAGTCCTTGGAATTCCTGGAGCCGGCGCTGTACAAAGGTAATTTTCTTGGTCAGATGGGATGGGAGGTGGTGCTTGAGATGGTTTCAAGGGGGCTAGCTCTGGAAGAGGGCCAAATTAGATGTTACCATTTGCTTTAATGAGAACCATGTAAATTGCACAAGGCATGGGGGGGGGGGGTGAAGCAGGGACAACATCAGGGGAAGAAGAGTTAAAGTCCAACATCCTGATGCTAGGGAATCAGCCGTGAGCTCTAACCAAGGTATGTTATTTGGTTTACGGTTCATGGTTTGTCTGGAGGAGACGAGCCTGGGTTTGTACAACACGCCAAACCATGGTTTAGCACATAGCAGCATAACAGGAAGTCTAAGGGAGAGCAGTGGCCTCAGTCTGCCACAGCTAGGCTAGTGACTGGGAGTGGCCACGGAGACCATATTAAACCAGTCCTGAAAGGCCTAGATTGGCTCCCAGTACGTTTCCGAGCACAATTCAAAGTGTTGGTGCTGACCTTTAAAGCCCTAAACAGTCTTGGTCCAGTATACCTGAAGGAGCGTCTCCACTGCCATCGTTCAGCCTGGACACTGAGGTCCAGCTCTCAGGGTCTTCTGGTGGTTCCCTCAATGCGAGAAGTGAAGCTACAGGCAACCAGGCAGAGGGCCTTCTCGGTAGTGGCATCCGCCCCGTGGAACGCCCTCCCATCAGATGTCAAGGAAATAAACAACTATCTTACTTTTAGAAGACATCTGGAGGCAGTCCTGTTTAGGGAAGTTTTTAATGTTTGATGTTTTATTGTATTCTTAGCATTCTGTTGGGCGCCACCCAGAATGGCTGCGGAAACCCAGCCGGAAAGGCAGGGAATAAATAAATTAGTAGTAGTAGTAGTAGTCTCCTCTCTAGGGAACCTTCATGCAAAGCCGTTTACACTAAGCTATGGTTTGGCTTATGGTTCATCCACACTTCTGCTTGTGTGAGCCAGTGTGGTGTAGTGGTTAAGAGCGGTAGTCACGTAATCTGGGTAACCGGGTTCGCGTCTCCGCTCCTCCACATGCAGCTGCTGGGTGACCTTGGGCCAGTCACACTTCTTTGAAGTCTCTCAGCCCCACTCACCTCACAGAGTGTTTGTTGTGGGGGAGGAAGGGAAAGGAGATTGTTAGCTGCTTTGAGACTCCTGAAGGGGAGTGAAAGGCGGGATATCAAATCCAAACTCTTCTTCTTCTTCTTCTTCCTGCGGTCTTCCCTCTGGGGGGAAAAAACACTCTTTACCACCGAATCAGCACAAACGTCAATTGGGTTTTCCGTGGACTGATGTTTGCTCCAACTCAGCAGTAAAGAGCAGGTTTTTCCCGGGGAAAGTGGCAGGGTGAATGGAAAACCACTTGCACCCATGCCTAGAAACCACAGGCCAAGCGGAATACTTCTTGGATCCGTGTTTTCTAGACATGGGAGAAGCGGGGTGTGGATGAGCCATGAGAGCTGCATGCGAAACAGCCCACAATATCCACATGACTTCACCATTTAGTTCTAGGGAGGCTTAAAAACAGCTCCATCCACTTAGACCATGTAGTACATAAACATTAAATGGAAAAGACATTCTGATTTCGCCTTCCATCCCCAAAGGCCTGGTATCAAAATTTATACAAGGACGGGGCTCCTTCCCTACAGATCTCAACACCTGGGCAGATCTATTTTGGAGGTGTCGCAAAGCCGGTGATTTCATCAGCCAGTGATTTCTCTGCTCTTTGCCTCCTGAAACAGATTAAGGCAAAAGTCTGGAAGAAGGAGGGTTGTTTAGTTTTTTTGGTTTTTTAAAATGTCTCCAGAAACAGAAGTGAATTCTTTCTGTGACATCACTCATTCAACCTCTTCCTTTCTTCTCTCCTTCCTTCCTTCCTTCCTTCCTTCCTTCCTTCCTTCCTTCCTTCCTTATCTGTGTTGGTGTAGCGGTTAAGAGCGGTGGACTCGTAATCTGGGGAACCGGGTTCGCGTCCCCACTCCTCCACATGCAGCTGCTGGGTGACCTTGGGCCAGTCACACTTCTCTGAAGTCTCTCAGCCCCACTCACCTCACAGAGTGTTTGTTGTGGGGGAGGAAGGGAAAGGAGATTGTTAGCCGCTTTGAGACTCCTTCAGGTAGTGATAAAGCGGGATATCAAATCCAAACTCTTCTTTTTCTTCTTCTTTCTCCTGCAGTGATGGTGACTCTGGATCCAGACACGGCACATTGCCGCCTCATTCTCTCCGAAGACCTAAAAACTGTGAGGAAGGCAGAGGAAGAGCAGGCCTTGCCTGACAAACCGGGGAGATTTGATGTTGGGCCCTGTGTGTTGGGCCGCGAGCGATTCACTTCCGGAAGACATTTGTGGGAAGTGGAGGTGGACAACGAAGGCAGCGGGGCGATGTGGGCCGTGGGAGTAGCACGAGAGTCCGTCAGGAGGAAAGGAAAGGGCAGCTTTAGGCTGATTCCCAGCGAGGGAATCTGGGCTGTGGGGGCGATAATGGGTGAACTCATAGCATTTACTTCCCCCAAACAGACCCCTTTAGCCTTGGGGCAAGACCCCAGGAATATCCGCGTGACCCTCGACTATGAAGAGGGACTTGTGGAATTCTTTGACACGGAAAGAGCTGAGCTGATCTTTGCTTTTACAGGAGCCTCCTTCTCTGGGCAGATGATCCGGCCCTACTTCTGGGTAGGGTACAGATCCCAGCTGAGGTGCTAAATCGCAGGAAGGAGATCCTTCCCCTTGTTTCTTATCAGTTCCCTGAAAGAAGGAAGCATTCCAGCAATTTTCCTTCATAGCTCCATGAAAGGTTCGCAAGCCATTTTCCAGCCTCTGTGGTTTTTGAGTAGGACCTCCTGATCTCAGAGCACAAAGAGTGGCTATAAATGGAATCAAATTGTAGAATCGTGGAATTGGAAGGGACCCCAAGTGTCATCTAGTCCAGCCCCCCTGCAATGCAGAAATCTCAACTAAAGCATCCATGTACAAAAACAAAAACAAAAAAACACCACAGAAAGTTTGGTGGCTCCCTTTTGTGGCAGGTTTTTGAAATATTTACATCCGCATGCACAAATGGAAAAAGAAGCTACAAACAACAGGTGTTGGTTTTTTTTGGGGGGGGGTGTTGCTTGAGCTCATATACAGTGGTACCTCTGGTTACATACGCTTCAGGTTACAGACTCCGCTAACCCAGAAATAGTACCTCAGGTTAAGAACTTTGCTTCAGAATGAGAACAGAAATCGTGTGGTGGCAGCAGGAGGCCCCATTAGCTAAAGTGGTGCTTCAGGTTAAGAACAGTTTCAGGTTAAGAACAGACCTCCGGAACGAATTAAATTCTTAACCCAAGGTACCACTGTACCTTTAAAGGTGGTATGGCAGGCAGAATTTCAACCGGTACAGACTATCCCGTCCCTGCATGTCCAGATCCACCTTAAAGCAGCTATAGATCAAGTTGCCGAGAGTGGGGATAGGAATCAAATTAGCCGAAAGTCTCTTCTTGCTGTTCCTCCACCCGAACCTCAGCAGAAGGAATTCCCTGTACCACTTCTCAGTATTTTTTTATATCTCTCTGAGAGTCTGAGATTTAAGAAAACCCACCTGTAGGTTCCTCCTCACAGAGCTACAATTCCCGGTACCCTTAACAAACTACAGTTCCTAGGATGATTTGAGGAAAGTTATGAGCTTTGAGTGTGCATTGGCTGTGCTTAAAAGTACTGCATAAAACAAATGAAATACCGTGAAAATCCCTGAAACGAGAAGTAATCGACTAGAAATATTATCTTGTGGAAATAAACTAAATAATAAGAATCAAAAAGTTGAAGGAAAAAATTAGAAAAACCTGTAGAAACTGTACCTTTGAGTCCTCAATCCTTTATTACTGCACTTTGCTTCACCTAGGTCGAGCTAGGATTATAATCCTTCAGAATTTTTGGGAGTTCTACCCGCTTTTTTGGATTTTTGGTCATTTAAGGTTTATGAATTTTCTATTTCCCTCTGAGGAAACTGAATAGTTCAGTGAAACGAGGTTTGTAGCCGGCATCCCGTTAAGGCTTTGTTCAATTTTAGGTTTTGCTAATTTTTTCCTGCTTACCTATAAATTAGAGGCCACTTCTTCCTTTTTTAAAAAATAGTTTTTATTAAGAATTTCAACATAACCAATTATCAAAAACATATCATCTTCATTTCCACCCTATTTTCCCCCTCCCCAAGAAAAACCCACTCACCCCCAGACTTCCCTCAGCTCCTCTCTCGTTTTTCAACACATATTATTCTCTGCATATTATAAAATTGTAAAGATCCTTAAATTATGTTAACAATAATAAATTTGTGTATGTTTATTCAAAACCTGCCAAGGAGTCCAATTCATTTTGTTGTTTTTTAATGTAATTTATAAAAAGTTCCCATTCTTCTTTAAAGCCACAGTTGTCCTTGTCTCGCAATTTCTATGTCAATTTCGCCAGTTCCACATCAACATCAACAACAACAAGCTCTACCTGTTGGGCGTGCCTGCCCTAGGTGAATGTAGAGTTGATGTCAAAGAATTGTATAGAATCTTGGAAAAAAGGCACTTTAAAAAAAGAACAGACCTGGAGCCCAGTTGTAGTAAACCAAGGAATATATTTATTAAAGGCAGGGAAAGGAGATGGGTTGGATAAATGTAATAATACAAAGCAAATGGTATACAGTTACACATTGAAACAAAAGTCAAAAGTGTTTTTCTGTGATGCAGAAGCTACCTAGCAGTGTGACTGACCCCTGAGGCCCAGGTCTCTCATTCAGCATAAAGATGTGGTGGGAAACTCAAGGCCCTTCATTGGACTCTCAACCATCAGCCCCCACCAGCACAGTCATTGATGGGGGGTGATGGGCTTTGTACTGTACCAACATCCCAAGGCCAACAGGTTGCCCAACCCTGACATAAAGGCAACCATGGAAGACTTTCCCAGCTGAGTGACCATCAGCCCACCAAAGGTCCTGACCGCAAAGTGCCTTATCAGGCTACCTCCCCGAACCCCAGTTCAGTCCAGCTCCCCTTCTGCCAGAGAGAAGGAAACATTGGGGAATTTCTTCAGTCACACTTCCCCCCATGGAGCCCAAAACAATATACGCTCCATAGTAAAACATCTGTGTTGCATGTTAAAGGTAAAGGGACCCCTGACCATTAGGTCCAGTCATGGCCGACTCTGGGGTTGCGGCGCTCATCTCGCTTTATTGGCCGAGGGAGCCAGCGTACAGCTTCCAGGTCACATGGCCAGCATGACTAAGCCGCTTCTGGCAAACCAGAGCAGTGCACGGAAATGCCGTTTACCTTCCCGCCAGAGTGGTACCTATTTATCTACTTGTACTTTGACGTGCTTTTGAACTGCTAGCTTGGCAGGAGCAGGGACTGAGCAACGGGAGCTCACCCCGCCGCGCGGATTTGAACCGCCGACCTTCTGATCGGCAAGTCCTAGGCTCTGTGGTTTAACCCACAGCGCCACGTTGCATGTTAAAGACCCTCAATTTAAACCGCCCCAGGTAGGACAGGGGAATATTCTGTGTCAGAAACCCTGGGGTTGGCTGCCAATCCGTGTAGGCATTACTGAGATAGATGGACCAACGTTCTGACTTTGATATAAGGCAGCTTCCTATGTCCCTAAATGATCCCTGCGGACGTACATTTCCGCATGAGAAAGCAGGCAGCAAAATAGGCCCTGGCAGGCTGAAAATGGGCCACTGCCGATGGATTAATCTTCCGATTATATTGCTTCTAGTGGAACCCTGCGAATAACATATGTTTCCACTTGTTTTCCATCAACACAACCACAGCCCTTGCGTGGGTTCTTTATTAACAATGAGTCAATCGACTCGCACAGGGCTTGTTTTTGTTGCATGGCTTTTTCAGATGAGGATTACTCCCCCTCTATTTCTGCCTTTGGTAGAACTAGACCCGCTTTGCAGGATGAAGCTGCCAGGTTCAATCTGCACTCAGCACCGCCAGTCAAAAGCAGCACCAGGTGACAACTGACAGCAACTGGGCAGACAACACTGGGTTAGGTAGACCAACAAGCTGGCTCGGTATGAGGCAGCTTCAGCTCTCCACGTTTTATTTTGTAGAATCATAGAGTTGGAAGGGACCCCAAAGGTTATCCAGCCCAACCCCCAGCAATGCAGGAATCTTTTGTCCACTGTGGGGCTCAAGCCCACGACCCCGAGATTAACAATCTCACGCTCTACCCAACTGAGCTTGTCCAGTTTTACATAGGTACCGTATTTTTCACTCCATAAGACACACTTTTTTCCTCCTAAAAAGGGGAAATGTAATTTAAAGACTATTTACAGAAGCATTGCAAAATTAATGAATGTTAGAATGATGTTTGAATGAAGTTAAGCAGTTTCTAGCTGTAATGATATAAAAGAATATGGAAAAATTGGATTTTTAAATAGGTAAAAATTTAATGTTATAATATATTAAGATTAAAGATCAGGATAATAAGGAGGGAAAGAAATTGCTGAATTAATTAATTGAATTGGAATACAAAAAAGGGAGGCAGGAGGAGGTCAGGGAAACAAGGATATGAATGTAAGATATGGAAAGGTTGATTTTTTATTTTTCCTTTTTTAATCTTTTTTCTGTAAGTGTACTTATTCTGTATTTTTCTTGTATTTTTATTTTTGTCTTTTATTCTTGTATTTTTTGTTTTTATGTAATTCCTTTTTTTGAAACTTTAATAAATATTTTATAAAAAAAAGGGGGAAATGTCTGTGCGTCTTATGGAGCGAATGTGTGGTCCATCGCTGCCTCCCTTTCTGGCCCCACCCCCTTGCCCAGGCCTCCATTGTTGAACGTTCGGCAGGCGGAGGCTGTTTGTTACTCCAGCGACATGTGACTGGCTGATTAGATTATCTGTCTGGGAACTGTAGAAACGGCTCCCTTTCCTTTCCTAAAGAAGCTGCGGAACTGTGAGTTGAACCCCATAAAAACGGGATTTTTCCCCTTTGCAAAAGAAGCTGCACAACTGTGAACTGATGCCCCCAAAAACAGGGCTTTCCCCCTTTCCTCCTCTAAAAACTTATGGTCAGGTGCATCTTATGGAGTGAAAAATACGGTAACTTTCCACAAATTTCAAATTGCCATCGAAGAGGCGGGGTTATTTGGAGCTCCAAACGATCTCAATACATTCTGCTGGTCCCCCGTTACCCAAACACCTCCCCATGTTAAGATGCTCCCTCCTGGACCACATCAATGGTCATTCTAGCATCCAGCATCCCCCAGTGGCCAACCAGATGTCTCCTGCCTCTAGATAGCCCACAGGCAGGTCAATAAGGCAATAGGAGTCTCTTGCCATAGGCTGAAAAGACTACATACCCATGCAGGGCCTTCACATATTTGTCTTGTCCATCATTTAGCTATGCTTTTGTGTGCATAAATACTTAAGAACACAAGTAGGGTGCTGACCCTTATGTTTCCCTCCCCTTATGGTTTTGAGCTATGGGCTACTATTAAAATGAGGCTGCATTTTAAATTGTAATTTTAACCTGTATTTTAAATTGGGTCCCCCCCCATTATGTTTTTATTGTAATTTTACTGGTGTTAGCCACCCTGAGCCCGGCTCTGGCTGGGGAGGGCGGGGTATAAATGAAAATTTATTATTATTATCTCACTTGTGGTTCCTAGCCAACTGGTATTTAGAGGCCTCTGTCCTCAAAGTTAATATACAGCCATCATGACTAGCAGCCAGTGATAGCTTTTTCCTCCACGAATCTGGTTTTGTTTGTCCTGAATATTCCACCATTCTGCTTCATTGGGCGACATCTGTTCTAGAATTATGGGGTGGAAGACTTCCCCCACTTTTTCTGTACCATGCATAATTTTATAACTCTCGATCCATGATTCCCTGAATCAATTTTTTTGCAAACTAAAAAAAAGAAGTGCAGCAGTTATGGGCTTCCCTTGTAGGGCAGATGCTATCACCTTCCGATTACAGTGGTACCTCGGGTTACAGACACTTCAGGTTTCATATGCTTCAGGTTACAGGCTCCGCTAACCCAGAAATAGTGCTTCAGGTTAAGAACTTTGCTTCAGGATGAGAACAGAAATCATGCTCCAGCAGTGAGGCGGCAGCAGGAGGCCCCATTAGCTAAAGTGGTGCTTCAGGTTAAGAACAGTTTCAGGGTAAGTACAGACCTCCGGAACGAATTAAGTACTTAACCCAAGGTACCATTGTATTTCTTCTCTTCAGTCTCTCCACCCTTTTTGAGATGTGACCAGAATTGCACATTGCACTGTATACCATACCCAAACCTTTGGGGGAGATTGCAAGTGTACCATTCAGAGCTGAGACACATTTGCCTCGCAAATTAAGCTCTCTCTGATATTTGATGCCAAGTAATAAATATGCATTGTCAATATTTAATGCCCGGTAGTATCTGAAAGTTGTTACTTGAAAGCATTTCAAAGACGACATGCAGAAGTATTAGTATTTGAAAGCCGGCATGCAATAGCATTTGTATTTGACTATATTTGCTAGCTAACATGCAAAGTTTTTTTTTATGATTTCACTAAATTTGACAGATGGCATGCAATGGCATTTAGTGTTTAAGCACATTTAAGTAACTGGCATTCAAAACATCCGTATTTAATCACCGACATGCAATAGTGTTTACTATAATCTGATAAGATGGAATGGAATGGTATGTAGTGTTTGATAATAGTCATGCAATAGTATTTACCTACCTACCAGTATTTTATAGCTGACATGCAATGGTATTTAGTTTATGACTATTTTAAAGTTGCTAGCTTATGGCATTTTATATTTGACACCTTATAAAAAAATGAAACAATCAGAGAGACTGTCTAATGAAAGTCTAAAGCACCCATATTTTGTGGTCGATTTTCAAAATGTGTTGGAAAAAGCTTGTTTCAGCTTTAGTGTCATTTTCTCTGACCACTTTTGGACTGTGATGTCACCTCGGTCTGTCATCAAAGAGAACTGACTGCCAGAGGTCAGTGCTTTCTTCCGACATACGCTTTGCCATCCTGGGTCAAGGCATCTTCTTCTGTGTGAACACCTTCACTCTGACCCAGAGACCCTTGCAGGCTGAGCCACTTCCCAGATGCGAGCCATTCATACAGTTTGTTTTCCTGCACCGATTCCCCGGCATCACACCCCAAGGCTTGGTTCGTCAACAAAATGTTCTCCACGCACTTGGCCAGAGGATAGCCTGGAATGAGAATAAGTGCAGGCTGAGATCACACGAGGAACAAAGCGGAATTATAAAACTACAGTCACCCACAAGAGCAATGAACTAAACTGAATGACGGAAGGACCACAGAACCCTGACCTTACTTTGATACTCTCATAATTTACCCCCAACTTCTCTCTCTAACAGTGAACTCGGGTGGTTGAGTGCCTGTCAGTTTGCATGGAAAACAGGTCCGCACCAAAATAAGGTTGTAGTTACTACATTTTCTTGGGGAAAACCTCAGTTCTCCTCCTGGAAACAGTGCTTGTCTATGGAAGAAGAGGTGATCTCAGCAGCTAGGATTGCTTTTTACAAGACGCTGTAACGCTGGTTACATCCAAAACGAGGCTAATGTTGGCACTCTCTACATAGAGCTGCACAGAGCGCAGAAATTTCATCAGGTACCAAAAAGAACAAAACTTCAATAAAGAATGGGGGGAAATTTATCATTTATTTAAGAAACCACTGTAAGCAGATGAAAACATTAGCAGGATTGCAACAGCACTCATAAGGTAGCAAAGACTACGGACAAAATGGAGAGACATAAAATATGGACTGTGAAATAATATGCAGTTGAAAAGGATAACAATAGGACCCATGGAGGGGATGATGGGAAGTCCAGAGATTCAGAAAAATCTCTAAATATGGATATGTAATTGGTAAGTAAAACCTCCATGAACGTCCACCCCGCCGAGCGTCGATTTTGGCGAATGTCCGCGGCAAACCCGGAAGTACCGGAATGGGTTACTTCCGGGTTCGCCGCTCACGCATGCGCAAAAGCGCTAAATCGCACTTCATGCATGCGCAGAAGCGCAAACTGCTCAGCGCATGTGTGCAGACCGCGCTTTGTCGAGCATCCCTTTCGTTGCTCCAGAACGGATCCTGGACTCAAAACAAGGTACCCCTAAGTGGCGTTTGCCCTCTTAGGTGTGTGACATCTTACTGGGTTCATAAGGAAAGGGTTAACTAATTGTAAAATGACTAACTAACAGGAACCCAAGGGGCAGAATTAACTGTGTATAAGGTTTAAGCACAGAGTTTTTTGAGTTAGAATTAAGGTGGTTGAGAAGACAGACTGGAGTTAGAAGAGACAGAGAAGATAAGTCTGTCGGTTGGGCTAGTCTATTGTGAGAGACTGAGGAGTCAGTCAAACAGTTGAGCTAATCAGTCAGAAGGTAATAATAATAATTAATTAAATAATTAAATAATAACAACAACAACAACAACAACAACAACAACAACAACAACAACAACAACAATAACAATAATAATAATAATAATAATAATTTATTATTTATACCCTGCCCATCTGGCTGAGTTTCCCCAGCCACTCTGGGCTGCTTCCAATCAAGTGTTAAATACAATACAGAATTAAATATTAAAAACTTCCCTAAACAGGGCTGCCTTCAGATGTCTTTTAAAGAGAAGATAGCTGCTTATTTCCTTCACATCTGAAGGGAGGGCGTTCCACAGGGCGGGCACCACCACCGAGAAGGCCCTCTGCCTGCTTCCTTGTAGGAAGCGATAGGCCGGTAAAGAAACTAAAGTTAAGATACTGACAGGAATATTATCTGAGAAACCATAAACTTGTTAATGTTTGTAAAATAAACTTGTTTATTTGGTTCACTTTTAACAACTGTCTGGACTCAGTGTTTTACCCAAGAGTAACGGGTTAGTGGCAGCGGGAAAGTGAATACAGTGGTGGCACAGGGATCAATAGACCATTAAACATCTGGAGACCCTGTGTGATTGCCACAGCCTGTAATTCTATAGCTATCAAATAAAAATTATTTAAAACAAACCAACAAAAACCCAAACCTGCCCTTTGTGATGAAAAGGAGCAGCTCACCTATATGTTGCCTCTGATGGTGAATGAGGCTCCGATTGGCACTAAACCGTTTCCCGCACTCCAAGCAGGCGTAGGGCTTCTCGCCCGTGTGGACGCGCTGGTGGGTCACGAGGTGGGTGCGGTTGGCAAAGCACCGCCCGCACTCAGCGCACTTGTAGGGCTTCTCGCCCGTGTGGACGCGCTGGTGTTTGACGAAGGCCGAGCGGTCAGCAAAGGCTTTCCCGCAGTCCGGACACCCGTGTGGCTTCTCGCCCGTGTGGCGCCGGTGGTGGCGGGTCAGGTGGGACGGGGAGCCGAAACATTTCCCGCAGTCTAGGCACCGGTAGGGTTTCTCCCCCGTGTGGGTCCTCTGGTGCCTGACGAATGTCGAGCGCTCCGAAAAGCACTTCCCGCACTCGGCGCACTTGCAGGGCTTTTCCCCCGTGTGCACGCGCTGGTGGCTCACCACGTGCGACTGGCGGGCGAACGACTTGCCGCACACCAGGCACTTGTAGGGTTTCTCGCCCGTGTGCACCCTCCGGTGGCTCCCGAGGTGTTCCTGGCGGGCGAAGGTTTTCCCGCACTCGGCGCACTTGTAGGGGCGCTCCCCCGTGTGGACCCTCTGGTGTTTCGCGAAGACGGAGCGGTCGGCAAAGCATTTCCCGCACTCAGGGCACTTGTAGGGTTTCTCTCCCGTGTGGACTCGCCGGTGCTTCAGGAGGTGGGACTGCTGGACGAAGCTCTTCCCGCACTCCAGGCACTTGTGGGATCGCTCCACGGCGTGGATCCGCTTGTGGCTCACCAGGGCCGACGGGTCAGCGAAGCACTTGGCGCACTCCAGGCATTTGTAGGGTTTCTCTCCCGTGTGGTAGCGCCGGTGGATGACGAGCTGGGACTGGCAGGCAAAATGCTTCCCGCACTCCAGGCACTTGTAAGGGGTCTCCCCCGCGTAGATGCCCTGGTGCCTGGCCAGGTGCGCCTTGCGGCCGAAGTATTTGTCGCAGACCAAGCACTTGTAGGGCTTCTCCCCCGTGTGGACAATCTGGTGGCTCATCAGGTGCGAGTGGCAGCCGAAACATTTGCCGCATTCCAAGCACTTGTAGGGCTTCTCCCCCGTGTGGATTCTCAGGTGCCGCGTGAGGTTCGGTTTCTGAGTGAAGCGTTTGCCGCACACAGTGCACAAGTGCTTTTTCCGAGGGTTATCTGCAGAGAAAGAGAGAGAGAGAGAAATCACCTGAGAAGGAGCCTCAGAAAGCATATGGACAGAGGTGAGATTGTTGTACAGTGGTACCTCAGGTTAAGTACTTAATTCGTTCCGGAGGTCCGTACTTAACCTGAAACTGTTCTCTTTTTTTTTCATTGATTTTTATTTTTCAAAAAAAAAAAAAGAAAAGAAAAAAGGAAAAAAGAACAAACAAAGGAAAAAGCAAATTGTACATACTATCCATACTACAGCAAATCATATCCAACTTAGACTTCCTTCAACGTCACTGATATTCATTCGTAGTTATACCTTTAGTACACATTCCATTCTTTCATATTGCCATTTTTCCTTCCTAACTTCAATATTTCTAATAAACAATACATAATAGTTCTTTACAGTGCCTCTTTAAACCCCACTAGCGTTGTGTTTACACCACAGTTATTTTCCAGATAACCCACGAATTTCTCCCAGTCCTTAATAAATTTTTGATCTTTGGTATATCTAATTTTCCCTGTTAATTTATCCAATTCTGCATAATCTGTCAGTTTTACTCTCCACTCTTCTACCGTTGGAATTTCCTCCTGTAACCTGAAACTGTTCTTAACCTGAAGCACCACTTTAGCTAATGGGGCCTCCTGCTGCTGCCGCGCCACCGGAGCACGATTTCTGTTCTCATCCTGAAGCAAAGTTCTTAACCTGAAGCACTATTTCTGGGTTAGCGGAGTCTGTAACCTGAAGCGTATGTAACCTGAAGCGTATGTAACCTGAGGTACCACTGTATACACAAAGATGGAAAGATACGGCGCTACCTGCTATGCATTAATGGTTGATAAAATTATTGGACTTGGCTGAGGTGGCCAAGGTAATGGGCTTAATTGGAGAAAAATCTTTTTTAAAAAAATATTTTTTATTAGGAGTTTTAACATAACAATTCATCAAAATCAGATCATCCTCATTTTTTTCTCCCCATTTTCCCCTCCCCGCTCCCCAAGAAAGAAAACACCAACACCAGGGCTGCCAACACCCTTTACCGGGCTCAAACCAGTGCCTCACCTGAGCAGGTGTCAAAGAGCTTCCTTCCATCCGGAGAATCGGGCACACAGGGCTCTTCTCCTTGTTCCAGGCGGCAGATGAGGCCAGGCTTAGGAGCTGGGTATCCTTCTCAGGAAGAGAAGAGGAATGATGAGGACGGTTTTCCTGTGCTTGGATGCTGGGAGTTGTTAGAGGAGTTCCCTATTGTCCTCAGAGAGCTGCCGTCCTGAGAGCGGTTTAGCACTTCACCCCTCTTCCCCAGGGAACTCTGGGAATTGTAGCTCTGCGAGGGGAACAGGGGTCTCCTCACGACTCTCTGCACCCTTAACGCACCCACATTTCCCAGGATTCTTAGGGGGAAGCCATGACAGGTGGCCATCCAGCCTCTGATTAAAAACCTTTAAGGAAGGAGATTCCAGTGGTGGGTGGAGCCAGGGCAAAAGTGGGCGGAGCAATGCATCTACATTTTATATTAAAAAAAATGTTATCAATACATTTTATATTTGTATTGGGAACTAATTGTATCCTTACACGGTAGTCTCTCTCTCTCTCTCTCTCTCTACATACATACACAAAAACACATCCCTCCATCCAGTTAAGCAAAAATAAATAATAATAATAATAATAATAATAATAATAATAATAATAATAATTTATTTATACCCCACTCACTCTGGGCGGCTTCCAACAGAATATTAAAATACAATAACCTACTAACCATTAAAAGCTTCCCTGAACAGGGCTGCCTTCAGATTAATGTAACCACTTGCAGTTTTATAAGAGTATATATTTACAGCAGATAAATAAATGAGCAAGTTAAATGAACTTGCGATATGCAGAAGGTATTAAAAAAACAAATATATGGAAGCACAGGAGGAGGGGGAAGGAAGTCAAATTTCAAAACGTTAAATTGATTGTACAACTAATGAAATGTTTAAATTTGGGGAAAAAATAAAAATAAAAAATGTTTTTTAAAAGGAAGCAAGGGTCTCTCTCAGAGTTCAAGGATTATTATTACAAATGTTAATTAATTAATTAATTAATTGATGCATTCCAACCAGGAAAAGACACTCATGAGTGTAACACACTCTTTGAGATTTTGAGAGCTACGGGTATAGGGTGGTATACACCACTAAATTTAATAAAATAAAAGTAAAAGCAGGGATATCATGCGGTGTGGCCTTAGAAGAGTTCTGAGGGCCATACCAGAGACAACCGGAGGGCCGCATTTGGCCCCTGAGCCTGACGTTCCCCACCCCTGACATAACTAAATCTGAAGGAAGGAAGCAACTTCCCTAACGCAGAAAGGACTGGGGAGACGGAGGAATGAACTGGCCTAAATCTTGTATTTTGAAGCCACCTTTGCCAACCTGCGGCCCCTCCAGTGTTTTGGATCCCAACTCCCAGTAGTGACAGCCTTCGCGCACCTACCCCAAGGAAGAAGGGAGTTCCTTACCCAAGGAGGCCACATTCCCGTAATTCTCTATCATGACTTCCTTGTACAAAGCTCGTTGGTTGGGGTCCAGGAGATTCCACTGCTCCTTCGTGAAATACACGGCCACATCCTCAAACGTCACCAGGCTCTGCAAGAACACAAAGAACCGTTGCTCAGTCTCCTGCACCTGGCAGAAACACTTTCTCGCCGGCTCTGAAACAGGGGTGGGGATCCCCCCCCAAAAAATGCTTTTTGGGACTCCCATCACCGCCAGCCAACATTTCCAATGGTCAGGGCTGACGTAGCACCAACAACAACTGGAGGGCCACGGATCCCCCAGCCCTGATGTAGAATAATCAGGGCCAGAAAGTCAGAAAGAGGACTCTTCCCCTGAGAAGATGTTTCCATAAAAACGTCTTGCATGCATGCTTGAAACATCAAGAAAACAATTCACAGCTTTGTTTTAACTGTGCAGACTCCACAGAAATGAAGGAGTTCCACAAGGGCACAGGGGCACATTTGCAAAGTTCCCTTTCTATGCCAAACAACACATCTGAGGTATTCTTGAGGGTTTGGTCCACTAATAATAATAATTAAAAAATTTAATAAAATGTAATTTTTTTAAAAAAAAGTTTCCCCAGCCACTCTGGGCGGCTTTCAACAGAATATTAAAATACAATAATCTATTAAACATTAAAAGCTTCCCTAAACAGGGCTGCCTTTAGATGTCTTCTAAAAGTCTGGTAGTTGTTTTTCTCTTTGACATCTGGTGGGAGGGTGTTCCACAGGGCAGGCGCCACTACCGAGAAGGCCCTCTGCCTGGTTCCCTGTGACTTGGCTTCTCACAATGAGGGAACCGCCAGAAGGCCCTCGGCGCTGGACCTCAGTGTCCGGGCAGAACGATGGAGGTGGAGACGCTCCTTCAGGTATACAGGACTGAGGCCGTTTAGGGCTTTAAAGGTCAGCACCAACACTTTGAATTGTGCTTGGAAATGTACTGGGAGCCAGTGTAGGTCTTTCAAGACCAGTGTTATGTGGACATTGCTATTGCAAAAGTGGATCATTTACCATTAACTCTTGCATTTGTCTAAAACATATCTGCAGCAAGCTCAGGGGGAAAATCCTCAGCAAGTTCTTGAACTTTTAAAAGAACCTGTCTCTCTCCAGATGTTGTTGACCATCCTTGACCACTGGCCATGCAGAAACTGTGAGGAGTTGGAGCAGAACATCTGCAGAAACTCAGGTTCCCCATCATCTTCTTTTAAGAAGACATTTCACCCTTTTGGAGGTATTTTTTAAAAACTAATGGATGGATGGCTTTTGGGGCAGAAGTTGGCAGAGGAAGTTTTTCTTCCAGCTTGTGACTCATTCAACTCTTAACAAATGTTCCTCATTTCCTTATTGGAAATTATATATTGTGCACAGATGTTTGCTTACTTCCAAAAAAGTGTCGTTTACTGTCGGTCCCTGGGATTCTGAGCTTAGCACCTCTTAATTTGCTTGCCTTTCAGCAAAGTGTGCTAAAGCTGTCACTGGCACCTGCCTATTTTCTGACTATAAAAGGAAGTGTTACAAAGAAGTCAAAGGACAAATAATTGGACTTTTACAACACAACCCTACGCATGTTTACTCACAAGTAGCTCCCACTGATTTCAACGAGGCTTTATATGTAAAACGCAACTGTGTGTTTGCAGTTTCTGTATTTCTTGGTATAGGACACAGAAGCTGAAGGTCTTGGTCTGTCACAGGCTAAGTCAGGCGACAGCAAACTTTTTCAGCAGGGGGCCGGTCCACTGTCCCTCAGACCTTGTGGGGGGGCGGACTATATTTTTTGGGGGGGAGAACAAATTCCTATGCCCCACAAATAACCCAGAGATGCATTTTAAATCAAAGCACACATTCTACTCATGTAAAAACACCAGGCAGGCCCCACAAATAACCCAGAGATGCATTTTAAATAAAAGGACACATTCTGCTCATATAAAAACACACTGATTCCCAGACTGTCCGCGGGCCGGATTGAGAAGGCGATTGAGCCGGATCTGGCCCCCGGGCCTTAGTTTACCTACCCATGGGCTAAGTCAACATTTAAAGACTTTCCCCAAACTTTCATAACATCAATGGCACATATGAAGGAATCTCCATTCTGCTAGATGAAAGGAACCATACACAGCACACTGAAGCCAGATTTTTTTAACAAATGGTTTAATATTACGTTCTTTTCTTTTACAAGCAACGGCCACAAAACTAACAAGACTTCCACTTCCATTCATAACGAGACAGACGGCGGTTAAAGTCAGCCAACTGGGAGAGTCAACAGAACTGGCCCTCCAGCTCTTAAGCAAAATTCAGCAAATCACACATGTTAAAGCATTAGCTGCAGACCGAGGCAGGAAGGGCTTGTGATATTTGGCAAGCCCCTTCCTTACAGCATAATTAGGCTCCCACTTCGCAGATAATATCTTCCTGCTAAGCTGTCAAAACCTAGAGGACTCTGGCAAATCATTTTTATTGAAAGTGGAATTTGAAATCAATAAGTAATTAGGATAACACAAGAATTGGCTCGCTGGATCAAACTCAGAATTATGTGCCATGATTGGCAGCAGAACTCCAGGGTTCCCAGCCCTACTTGGGAGATTTTGGAGATTAAGCCTGCAACCTTCTACACATGCAAAGACGATGTTCTAACACTGAGTCCCTAAACACGCAGTTGCAGGGACTTTGTCTCCCCGCTTCTCGCAGGAAAGAATGCTCTGCTCTTAACTGCTAGCTCTCTCTCTCTTTTAATTCATTAAATATATATCCTTCCCTTCTTCCCAAAGTTGCTTAGGATTGCAGAGGAGGCACGCTCAGGTCTTGGCCATCAGCCAGGGAATCAAATGTCGCTGGCAGGCTTCACCTCCTGCCACCTGGCAAGAGCATCATACCAAAAGGGAGACTGATGGACCAGTGGGCAGAACAGTTGCTCCAAGGCTTTGCTTTCCTCTTCCCTCCACATCCTTCATCCTTTTGTGCCACACCTGCTTGCTTGTGAGCCTGCAATGCTGGGATGGTCTTATCTTTTCATATATGTACAGTACAGTCGTACCTTGGTTTTCGAACAGCTTAGTTCTCAAACGTTTTGGCTCCCGAACGCCGCAAACCTAGAAGCGAGTGTTCTGGTTTGCGAACTATTTTGGGAAGCCGAACGTCCAACGGGGCTTTTGATTGGCTGCAGGAGCTTCCTGAAGCCAATCAGAAGCCGCGGTTTGGTTTCCGAACGTCTTGGAAGTCGAACTGACTTCCGGAATGGATTCCGTTCGAGGTACAACTGTACATACATACTTTATAAGTAAAGGTAAAGGGACCCCTGACCATTAGGTCCAGTTGTGGCCGACTGTGGGGTTGCGGCGCTCATCTCCCTTTATTGGCCGAGGGAGCTGGCGTACAGCTTCAGGGTCATGTGGCCAGCATGACTAAGCCGCTTCTGGCAAACCAGAGCAGCGCACGGAAACGCCGTTTACCTTCCCGCCAGAGCGGTACCTATTTATCTACTTGCACTTTGACGTGCTTTTGAACTGCTAGGTTGGCAGGAGCAGGGACCGAGCAATGGAAGCTCACCCCGTCGCGGGGTTTTGAACCGCCGACCTTCTGATCGGCAAGTCCTAGGCTCTGTGGTTTAACCCACAGCGCCACCCGCGCCCCACATACTCTCTAGAAGTGTTAAATAAAACCCCCATTGTGTGCGTTCCTGGGTACCAGACAATCAAAAGTATACTTCTTCTAAACATAGCAATCATGGCTAGTTGTTGAATCTTCCATGAATTTTCCAATTATTTTTTTAAAAAAGATGTAAACTAGCAGATATCAACTATCAAATCTCAGCATCAACACCCAGAATTCTTGGGCAGCTGGTAGTGCCCTGGGCTTCTTCTTTCCTTCCCCACTGCTGCCCAGTGCTCCAAAATAAGGCACACCCAACTAGGTCTAGGGAAGCCATCATTTCGAATCCTGACATTACTCCACCACAGCACCACTTCTCAGCATGGTGGGAATTTTAAACACTGCTCGCTGCAAAGAGAAAACCAGCAGAACACAGGCAGAAGGCTATGTCAGAACCCTTCTCAGTGCTAGACTAGTTTTCTGTTTGCAGGATGTTTTCCCTTGCGGGAAGCATTCAGAAGCTGCAAAGCACAATCACAGCTGCAGTCTAAACTCTATCATGCCACCTCATTTTGCTGCACAAAACGTACAAGAGTCTCAAGAACTGGTCCCATGAGAGTGGTGTCACAAAGGTTGACCTGACTTCTTTAAGGTTGCAAACTGACTCGGGCTCCAGTCCCAACAACTAAAGAGGGCCTTAAATCCAAGTAAACCTTTTCCAGATTGCTCTGTAGGTATAACACGCTTTCAAAGGGCCTTGCCACTTTACAGCAGGGCTAAAGAACCTGGAGAACCTGTACTGTTGGACTACAACTCCCATCACCCCCAACAATTGGCTATGCTGACTCGAGAAGGCTGGGAGTTGCTGTCCAACACATGCATTGCTACAGTAGAGAGGTCCCTGCCCCCAGAACCATACAATCTAAACCTGGACAGAGAAACAAGGAATGGGAGGCACACAGATAACAAGAGATGCAGGTGAGCAACGAAAGTGACACACGATCCATTCTTTTTATAATTCTGTCAGCAAGGAGAAGTGTTAGAGACAAGGCGTTAGATTCGTGTCTCCTGCTTAGAAAAAAAAGATCCATGCCTGTTTTGTTTTCACACCACTGCGGCAGAGATATTTTACGATGTTGCAGAGATTTTTCCTTTTTTTTACGATGTTGTCATCAGCAGGCAATGATAGGAGACGCTGGACAAAGTGTGCTCTAACCCACAAAAGCTCATGGTTACGCCTTAAGTCTTTAAGGCTCCTACGAGAGTCTGCCTGAGTTACGATCGGAGGGTAGCGTTGGGGAACTTGCACGCACACATGGTGAGGGTATATGCCTCCAAGCACAGCTTTTATAGCACTGCAGCGCCAGCAGGGACCACATCAGTCACACTCACACACAAAATTATGATGCCGCAAACAGCCAAGGACGCAAGAGCTCTCGCTCTCTCTGTTTGTGCGTGTATTTCAGAGGTGGATCTGAGACTTCAGCATGCAAAATCGCGAGGATCCAAGTCTCAGGTACCTCATCAATGTGCTGGATTCGTGGCTTAAAAGATAAACAAATGAAACCATGCAATGACAGCAGAAAGACATATATAAAGAGACACACACATATATCAGCTGCTTCTGTTTTTTCTAGTTTTCCTGCTGCTTTTTCCAAACTAAGACAGAAGCACTTTCAGGATCTACAAGGACCTGAGGTTTATCTTTTCCCCGCCATTTTAAGAGGTTATATTTGGTCTCTTCCCACCCACCCCCCTTGCTTTTCTGCCCCTCCTTCTCCCCACACCCAGGCACCCCCCCCCCAAGTGCACAAGGGGATGCAAAGCTCAGCCCCTTCCTTTTCCCCCTCTGGGTCTATGAAAAAGGGTGGGGAGGGAACTCAAGCAGACAAAGGAGAGACCCCCCCTCCCATTCCCCCAAGTTGCAAGAAACATAACCCACCCCAAAAAAGCCCCTCCCCCCCGCTCTCAGTTAATGCACCCCCCCCCCTTTTACCTGCATTTGCAAAAGGTGCGTTTCAGGCGCTCCTCCGGACAGTTTCCGGCTCTTGCAACTCAACTCACTGACGTCCCCCCCCCCCTTCTGTCCTGGGGATGCTGCGCTCACGCGCTTCCCCACGCCCCTTTTCCAGCTCAGCCAATCCCTCGGCTCCTTCGCGCCCGTCGCGGCCAATCCACTGTCGGGATATTCAAGACTCCGTACCGTGGAAGGGGAATGGAGGCGGGGCTAAGAGCCCAGTGGCTGGTGGGAATCGTAGTCCTTGTCTTCCCCCCTCCAGCTGGTCCCCAGCGCCTCCCTTTACGCTGCGCTTGTGGGACTTGGGTTGTTGCTTTCTAGTTTTTAAGCCGTTTTTCGGCCAGCAAAGCACTCTGTAGGGTTGGAAACGAATAAAATATAAAATATAAAATAGAATAAAATAAAATATAGAATAAAATAAAAAATAAAATGATGATGCTCCAAAGGTAAAGAAGATGACCTTAACATTTTAAAACTGCAGCAGATGAAAACAAAATCCAAAACAGGAACAGCCTTTGTGTTCTCGTGCAAAATCACTGGCTTTTTTTTGGGGGGGGGGATTTGGCCCTTAGGTTTTATTTAGATAGAATGAAGTGTTCCCTCCACACGCAAAAATATGCTGATGCCCTTTTTTCTCAGGCTGCTTCCAGATGCTTTTATTTTTTAATGACGTTTTTAATAAGGATTTCTATTTTTAAAACAAGCTACAGCAACAAAACAGAAAAGATTTAACAATGGAAACAAATCCATGAAATGCCCATTTTGCTGCTGATGCTCATTACAGTGGTACCTCGGATTAAGTACTTAATTCGTTCTGGAGGTCCGTTCTTAACCTGAAACTGTTCTTAACCTGAAGCACCATTTTAGCTAATGGGGCCTCCCGCTGCTGCCGGAGCCCGATTTCTGTTCTCATCCTGAAGCAAAGTTTTTAACCTGAAGCGCTATTTCTGGGTTTGCGGAGTCTGTAACCTGAAGCGTATGTAACCTGAAGCGTATGTAACCCAAGGTACCACTGTACAAAATAAAACGCATACAAGAAAAAGCAGGCAATCCCACCGCCCCCACAAAGCAAACGAGCTCACCCCAACAACTTTTTATTTACCTTCTGCTTATAAGTACATTTTTAACATGTACAAGAGTTAGGAGCTTGAGCAGCAACCAAGAGAGGTACTCTAACCACTACACCCCATGCCCACCAGGTAAGTTGCCTCTGTTTGCACAGCTGCCCCTCCTCCAGTAACACAGGCAATCTTCAAGGGAACATAGCAGACAACAGCTGTGACATTCAGCACAACTCGGTCTTCTTCCAAGCTGAAAATGTCCCAAGTCCTTGTGGGGATGGGAACCCCTTCTCCATGGGCACCATCTGCAGCAGAGACCTAGAGTGGCCCCACTGCCTCCAAATTATTAGATTAGCTTCTGTCCAGCTGTACAAAAATAACTGTCCCACCTTTCCCCTCCCAGTCCAACTACAGGGATGCCACCACATGGAGGAGGGAAACTGGCCAATGGATAGAGGCAGTCATTTGTCAGCCGAGTGCTGTGGAGCAGACAAAAAACACAAGTTCACTGGTGTTTGCTGAGTGGGTGGCAAGTCTGCAGTCTGAAGGTGGCTGATACTCAAGACCAGAGGCCATCTGATCTCTAGGAATGAACCTAGCGGATGTTGTGTGGTCCTGGGAGGAGTCGGTGGAACTACACAACTTTTTAGAAGACATCTGAAGGCAGCCCTGGATTGGGAAGTTTATAATGTCTGATGTTTTGTTGTGCTTTTATATATGCTGTAAGCTGGCCAGAGTGGCTGGGGAAACCCAGTCAGATGGGTGGGGGTATAAATAATAATAATTTATTTGTTATATATTATTATATATAGTGTTTGCATTCCTGCATTATGAAGTCATACGACTGCCGATTATTGTATATTCTACTGGACAAAAGCCACAGGCCTGTTCTTTTGTTTCCAAATCTTGTCACCACTGAACTACAAGCTTTCCCATCACCCCCTTTTCAGTGATAATATAGGGTGTAAAGGTAAAGGTAAAGGACTCCTGACAGTTAAGTCCAGTTGTGAACAACTCTGGGGTTGTGGCGCTCATCTCGCTTTACTGGACGAGTTTTTCCAGGTCATGTGGCCAGCATGACTAAGCCGCTTCTGGCGAACCAGAGCAGCGCACAGAAACGCCATTTACCTTCCTGCCGGAGTGGTACCTATTTATCTGCTTGCACTCTGATGTGCTTTCGAACTGCTAGGTTGGCAGGAGTGGGACCCAGAAACGGGAGCTCACCCCGTTGCGGGGATTCGAACCACCGACCTTCTGATTGGCAAGCCCTCGGCTCTGTGGTTTGGACCACAACGCCACCCGTGTCCCCACTATAGGGTTTAGAGCACACCAATGAATAAATATGCAATTCTGAATGTTGTTTGCATCTCTCAGCTGCACGTACTTTGACGTCCGTTCTCTATGGCAGAGGTTCTCAAGCTGTGTGGCAAGAAAGGATGGCAGGTGTGGCAGGAAGATTCAAGGACAACCAAAGTAACATTTAAACATTTCAGTGTAGGGATGGGCACACAACCAGAAACAGTAACCATGACTCTCTTCGAGAACATTGGCTGTTCTTCCACGACATATTGTTGTGAACAGGAGTTCTCAACTCTGACAAATATGAAAAATCACAAAAAAGGAAGGAGGTAAGAGTTTGTCTCAAATCAGACCTACTACAAATGAGATTAGCTGGAAAAAGCAAGCTCACACCTCTCACTGAGTTTGCATACGTACTTAAGGTGCATATGTAAGAGGCTCATTCATAATTAAATTTTGGGAATGATTCATGTTCTTATGTAGCTCCTGGTATGCCCCACAGAGGACCTTAAGGTCCACAAACGACAACATTTTGGAGGTCCCAGGTCACAAGGTGGTTAGATTGGTCTCAACTAGGGCCAGGGCTTTTTCAGTACTGGCCCCGACTTGGTGGAACGCTCTGTCACAAGAGACTAGGGCCCTGCGGGACTTGACATCTTTCCGCAGGGCCTGCAAGACAGAGCTGTTCTGCCTGGCCTTTGGCTTGGACTCAGTCTGACCCTTATGTTTCCCTCCCCTTGATTTATCGGCTATTTTAAAATGAGGCTGCACTTTAAAATGCATTTTAACCTGTATTTTAAATTGGTTCCCCCCCTTCTTTCCCCCCTATTATGTTTTTACTGTGATTTTATTGGTGTTGGCCGCCCTGAGCCCGGTTCTGGCCGGGGAAGGCAGGGTATATTATTATTATTATTATTATTATTATTATTATTATTATTATTATTATTATTATATTTGCCGGTGTTCCACAACCACATTATAAAACAGCTGTGTCCTATGTTGTAAATCAAGTTGTTTCTTTTCCTTTTTCCAATAAAAAAATAGGTGCGGCCCACAGTAATTTTTTATTCTGAAAGTGTGGCCTAGAGAAAAAAGCTTGATAGCCTCAGCTCTATTGTATGGGGAAAGGCTTGGAAGAGTCATAATAATTCTCATCCACATGGGCTCTCTCGTGGCAGATGAGGGCTGACGTCGAGGGGAAACATTCGCCACACATCAAACACGTATAAGGTTTGTCGGCCGCACAGGTCCTCTGGTGCCTCATAAGGTCTGAACTTTGAACAAAGCATTTATGGCATTTCAAACATTTGTGGTCCTCTCGCCCGGGTGAACTCTCTGGTGTTTTGCCAGGGTAGAGGGATCAGCAAAACACTTCCCACACTCCAGACACTTGAAGGGCTTTTCTCCAGTGTGGACGCGCTGGTGTCTCTCGAACTGCGGTTTGGAAGCGAAGCCTTTCCCGCACTCCGAGCACTGATAGGCCAAGCGTTTGTAGGTTGCCTCTCCCGTGTGAACTCGCCGGTGTTTCGCAAACGTTGAGGAGTCGGCAAAGCGCTTTCCCGCACTCCAGACATACGTAGGGCTTCTCCTTTGTGTGGATTCTTCCTGTGCGTCGCGAACGTGGAGTTGTGAGCGAAAGACTTCCCACAATCCGCACACTTGTAGGGTTTCTCTCCCGTGTGGACTCTGCGGTGAGTAGCAAACGTGGAAGAATCGGCAAAACTTTTCCCGCAGTCCGAACACGTAAAGGGCTTCTCCCTCGTGTGGGATCTCTGATGCCTCGCAAAGATCGATCTGCGGGCAAAACGTTTCCCGCACTCTGCGCACTCGAAGGGTTTTTCTCCCGTGTGGACTCTGCGGTGCGTGGCGAGCGCAGAGGAATAAGCGAAGCATTTCTCGCACTCCGGCGCACCGGAAGGGTTTCTCCTCAGTGTGCACTCTCTGGTGGTTCGCCAGTTCCGACTTGCGAGCGAAAAGCTTCCCGCAATCTAAACACTGAAAAGGTTTCTCCCCAGTGTGGACTCGCTGGTGATTTCCGAGCTGCGACTTCCACGTAAAACATTTCCCGCACTCCGCGCATTTGTGAGGCTTCTCCCCTGGGTGGATTCTCCTGTGCGTCACAAAGGCTGTGGAATAAGCAAAGCATTTCCCGCACTCCAGGCACTTGTAGGGGTACTCTCTCATGTGGACCTTTTGGTGGGTGACGAGCACCGACTTGTGAGAAAAGCGCTTCCCACATTCGGCGCACACGAAGGGCTTCTCTCCCGTGTGACTCCTCCGGTGCTCCCCGACCTGAGATTTCCAAGCGAAACACTTCCCGCAATCTGAGCATTGATAGGGTTTCTCTCCCGTATGGACCCGCTGGTGGTCGGCGAGTTTTGATTTCTGGACAAAGCACCTCCCACACACGGCGCACTGATACGGGTACCTGCCTGTGTGGGCTGTCTGGTGGATCACGAAATAGGATTTGTGAGAAAAACGCTTCCCACACTCTGCGCAGCCGTAGGGCTTCTCTCCCGTGTGGATTTTCCGGTGGCTCGTGAGGTTTGATTTGGTGGCGCAGCGCTTCCCGCACTCGGAGCACTTGTAGGGCTTCTCTCCCGTGTGAACTCTCTGGTGGATCGTGAACTTTGATTTCTCAGCAAAGCACTTCCCGCACTCCAAACATTCATGGGCTTTCTTGCCTGTATGGAGATCCTGGCATCTGGCAACGCTGGACTTCTGGACAAGATATCCCTCCCGAGCGGCACGTGGCTGATTTCCCCTGCGTGCATCTGTTGGGGCAAAAGGCAGATAGAAATAGGAATTATTCTGGAGGAAGGAAAAGCTGGAAACCTGGGAAGAAGGTTGAAAGGGGAAACTGAACCATTAAGAATGTGGCAGTACTGAAATATCAAGTAATGAAGCGGCATGAAAACACCTCCCTTTTTCATCCCGTCATCCCCATCACACATTTACACAGCATGGCGTCCACCAAAGAATCCTGGGAGCTCTAGTATAAGGGTGCTGGGAGCTGTAGCTCTGCCAGGGGCAAGCCGGGAAAATAGAAAAACAAATAAAAAATTTATTGTCACATGAATTTGGGAGCCAAGGTCTTCAGCAGCTGTTGGTTTAATGCAGTGTTTCCCAAACTTGGGTCTCCAGCTGTTTTTGGACTACAACTCCCATCATCACCTACCGAGCAAGACCAGTGGTCAGGGATGATCAGCAGGAGAACCAAGTTTGGGAAACACCGGTTTAATGCATCTTAACTGCCCATTTGTCCATGGAGTTTTCTTGGCAGGGATACTGGAGTGGCTTGCCGGTTCCTGCTCCAGGTGGATCACGTTTGGTCAAAACTCTCCACTATGACCTGTCTATCTTGGGTGGCCCTGCACGGCATAGCTCATAGCTTCTCTGAGTTATTCAAGACCCTTCGCCATGGCAAGGCAGTCTTGAGAGACTCTTGAGATCCCCACAGACTGCAAGAAGATAAAACCTCTCAATTCTTCAGGAAATCAGCCCTGAGTGCTCACTGGAAGGACAGATCCTGAAGCTGAGGCTCCAATACTTTGGCCACCTCGTGAGAAGAGAAGACTCCCTGGAAAAGACCCTGATGTTGGGAAAGATGGAGGGCACAAGGAGAAGGGGATGACAGAGGACGAGATGGTTGGACAGTGTTCTCGAAGCTACCAGCATGAGTTTGACCAAACTGCGGGAGGCAGTGGAAGACAGGAGTGCCTGGCGTGCTCTGGTCCATGGGGTCACGAGGAGTCGGACATGACTAAACAACTAAACAACAACTGCCTATTTGCCTATTTTAGAACCATGACTTGAGGTATCCCAGGAAGTTTTTACTGAGAAGAGTCCCAAGAAATCACGAAAGAGTTTGGGGATGGTTGGCTTCCCCTGAGACCCCTCACCTGAGCTGGCGTTGGAGTTCTCAATTTCATCCAAACCCCGACAATTTGGCACCCACGGTTCTTCCCCTCGTTCCAGGTGGGAGATGAGCTCAGGTTTGGTGAATGGAAATCCTACCCAGGGAAGAAGACAGCAGAGAACGTCACAGGAGATGTGGTGAAACACATCCAAACCCCACAAAGAGGGAACCACACAACCATCACACATATCCTGATATCTTTACAATTGGGGGAGAACCTCCTTGTCCACTAGGTCTGGCAAGAGTCTTAAATTGGACCCTGTGGCCATTGCCCCCAGACCACACCCGTGATATACTATGTCAGTTAAAACCTCAGCTGCAAAAGAACAATTGGGAGCTTAAAGCTGGCTTCCGATTTCCCCCCCTTAATGTTGGAGTTATATAATACAGTGGAACCTCGGAACGCCTGTGAACGTGAACGTTTCAGCTCCTGAACAATCAAACCCCAAGTGATTGTTCCGGTTTTCGAACGATTTTTGGAAGCCGAATGTCCGACGCAGCTTCCGATTGGCTGCAGGATGCTCCTGCAGCCAATCATAAGCCGCGCTTTGAAAGTCAAATGCTTTGGAAGTTGAACGGACTTCCGAAATGGATTCCGTTGGACTTCAAAGGTACGACTGTATGTGTGTGTGTGTGTGTGTGTGTACACACACACACACACACACACACAAAGTGGACGCTCAGGTTGCGAACGTGATCCGTGTGGGATGCATGTTCGCAACCCGCAGCGTTCGTAACCTGCAGCTGCGGGTCTGCAGGTTGCGATTCAGCGTTTCTGCGCATGCGCAAAGTGCAATTTAGTGCTTCTGTGCATGCGCGACCGCCAAAACCCGGAAGTAACCCATTCTGGTACTTCTGGGTTTTGACGGTCCGTAACCCGAAAAAACGCAACCTGAAGTGTCTGTAACCCGAGGTATGACTGTATATATATTTGCAATCAATGAATGCATGAGGCAGTTGCATGAATGACGGTTCTAGTATGCCTAGGTCTTCTCTCAGCCTGTTGTGAACAGGGAAGTCTATCAAGCAACTCACCCTGAATTTTTTTTAGAGAAAAGGCCCAGTGAAGAAACCAAGTGTGCCATAGATATGCATCATTTCAAACATGCAGAGATGGGAAGGAGAATTTCGAGGCTTCTTGCAGAATGATGAACCAGAATCCTTACCCAACGAGGCCACATTCCCATAATTCTCCATCATGACATCCCTGTAGAGGGCCCTTTGGTCGGGATCCAGCAAAACCCCCTGGCTCTCTGTGAAATACACAGCCACATCTTCAAAGGTCACCACCGGCCCCTGCAATGACAGAGAGACCTCCATCTCATTTCCCACAAATGTTTTCAAGAGTAGAGACATCACCTTGCCAACAAAGGTCCATATAGTAAAAGCTATGGTTTTCCCAGTAGTAATGTATGGAAGTGAGAGCTGGACCATAAAGAAGGCTGATCGCCAAAGAATTGATGCTTTTGAATTATGGTGATGGAGGAGACTCTTGAGAGTCTCATGGACTGCAAGAAGATCAAACCTATCCATTCTTAAGGAAATCAGCCCTGAGTGCTCACTGGAAGGACAGATCCTGAAGCTGAGGCTCCAATATTTTTGCCACCTCATGAGAAGAGAAGACTCCCTGGAAAAGACCCTGATGCTGGGAAAGATGCACAAGGAGAAGGGGATGACAGAGGACGAGATGGTTGGACAGTGTTCTCGAAGCTACCAGCATGAGTTTGACCAAACTGCAGGAGGCAGTGGAAGACAGGAGTGCCTGGCGTGCTCTGGTCCAGGGGGTCACGAAGAGTTGGACATGACTAAACGACTAAACAACAACAACAACAGGGCGCTGACCTGGAACAGGAAGCAGCTGTCCCAGAAGGCACCCTGCCCCACTGACTCAGCCCGGACTCTCCCCATCTTCCCACATCCACGACTTTCCTCCTCTCCCAACCCTTGATAAAAAAAAAGTTGCTTCTGGAATGTGCCACTTCAGGCTGCAGGTGGAGCAGTCTTTCCACACAGCACAATGCCAGTGGTAGAATAGACTACAACACTTGGGTCACTTCTGCAAGGCCTGCAGGTGGCTTTTGACAGGTGAGCAGGACGTGTCATGTGATTGACAGGTGGGTTGCCCCGCCCATCTGCAAAGGTTGCCCCTGAGGAAGATCTTTATCTCACCCCCTAGAGAAAAAATGTCCCCTTTACCCAGCTTTAAAGCACTGAAATTATGAGCAATCACAGACACCAGCTGCGTTAAGAGAGTTGATTTAGGGCATCAGCACTTGAAAATATGAGCTTCTGTCCAGGTTCAAACATCAGGGGGGCTTTCCGGCCAGGTGTGTGCTGTGAGATCCTGTGAGATCGATGCTCTACCTCTTCCACATGCAAATTCCCCACAGTATCTATGTGGCACTGCTCATATTAAAAGCACTATCTGATATTTCTCTCCCACCCACCTCCCATTTAATCCAGATTTGCCATTTTCTAATAAAATCCAATAACTCGTTGTTGTTGCTTTTTTTTTAAAAAAAGCCCCGTTTGTGATATCTAAACAATAATAAATAATAATAATAAATTTTTATTTATATCTCGCCCTCCCCAGCCGAAGCCGGGCTCAGGGCAGCTAACAACAATAAAATAATACAACAATAATACAAACAAATTGCAAAATTAACCCCCCACTACTTGGAACTGTCCCCTTCCTTTAACAACAAACAGAAGTGCGCTGAGATCACATGCATGCAAGGCACCTTTAAGGGCTGGCTTTTTTCCAAGAAGAAGAAGAAGAAGAAGAAGAAGAAGAAGAAGAAGAAGAAGAAGAAGAAGAAGAAGAAGAAGAAGAAGAAGAAGAAGAAGAAGAAGAAAGCTCCTCCAGGAATTACAGCGGTCTGAACGTTTATCACTTTTTTTCTTTTCTCTATCCACACCTCCTCCCCCCTCCTCCGCCATTTTTAGAGGTCACATTTGGTCTTTTCTTATCATTTCCCTCTATTCCCAAGTACATAAAGGGATGCAAAGTGCAGCCGCTTCCTATTCCCTTCTGCATCGAAAAGCAAAATAAAAAACAATAAAATCAATACTGGGGACCCACCAAACAAAGGAAGGAGTCAGCCCCAATTCCCCATGCTATGCAAATATAAAACAGCTCCTCGCACACTCCTTCCAAGTGATGCATTTTCCAGCCTTACCTCCATTTAGGACCCGGGAGATAAAGATGTTTTTCTTTCCTGCAGTTTCTTGCTCTTGGGAACTCAGAGAATGCCCACCTGGCTCTGCTGCCCTGGGTGGAATGTTGCGCTCTGACGTCTCCCGCCCCCTTTCCCCATCTCAGCCAATCACTCGGCACCTTCGCCACCCTCTCAAGCCAATGGGCAGGCCGCATTCCCAATGGCTGCGGGGAAATGTAGTCTTTTTCTTCCTCCAGGGCAACATTCTCGCAGGGACTTGAGGGTGTTTGCAGACGGGGACCAGAGCGCTCTGCGCTGCAGTATTTTGTTGCTGGCCTTGCTGCAAACAAGCTATAGCTTAGGGCCCCAAAAAAATTCAAAGGGAAAAAAACAACTGGATGTACATTTCCAAAATGTAAGGTAAAAAACAAATAAAATAAAACCTACGTACAGCAACAGTGTTTTGTGTTGCGTAGGCTCCTATCATGTAAGGAATGGGCCCCGCCTGCTAGCCTGCTCCCTAAAACATCACTGGTTTGCTCATTTCTATATATAGGGTGCCTACATTCTGCTATTTATAATTATTAGTAGTTTGCATCGTATATTTACACCTATTATGATTTCATGTTACAGTGGCACCTCGGGTTAAGTACTTAATTCGTTCCGGAGGTCCGTTCTTAACCTGAAACTGTCTTAACCTGAAGCACCACTTTAGCTAATGGGGCCTCCCGCTGCCACCGCTCGATTTCTGTTCTCATCCTGAAGCAAAGTTCTTAACCCGAGGTACTATTTCTGGGTTAGTGGAGTCTGTAACCTGGAGCGTCTGTAACTTGAAGTGTATGTAACCCGAGGTACCACTGTATAAGTTTCCAGAGACCAGATTATGAAATTGTGTTTCTAAAGGAACTTTTGTCATTGCCCAATGCTGATGTGTTTGCATTATTACGTTTGTTATGAATAGAAAATCATTTTAAGTTTTTGTTTTTTTTAAAGTAATGGACCCCTGACAGTTAAGTCCAGTCGTGAACGACTCTGGGGGTTGTGGCGCTCATCTCACTTTACTGGCCGAGGGAGCCAACGTTTGTCCGCAGACAGTTTTTCCTGGACATGTGGCCAGCATGACTAAGGTGCTTCTGGCAAACCAGAGCAGCGCACGGAAATGCCGTTTACCTTCCCGCTGGAGTGGTACCTATTTATCTACTTGCACTCTGACGTGCTTTCGTACTACTAGGTTGGCAGGAGCAGGGACCAAGCAACGGGAGCTCACCCCATCACAGGGATTTGAATCGCGACCTTCCGCTCAGCAAGCCCAAGGCTCAGTGGTTTACAGCACAGCGCCACCCGCATCCTCATTTTAAGTGAGAGCTTCATAATTTTTCCACTATTAATATACTTCTTCTTAATTGCATTTCACTATTAATATACTTCTTCTTAATTGTATTTCAGTTCGACAATTACTTTGATAAGATACATATCTTGTCCATAAATTACCATATAGCAGGCATGTCCAACCATCAGATCTCAATCTACAGTGGTACCTTGGTTCTCAAACGCCTTGGTTCCCAAACACAGAAAACCCGGAAGTAAGTGTTCCAGTTTTCAAACATTTTTCAGAAGCCGAACATCCGATGCAGCTGTCGGCTATTGTTTCCAGGACGCCTGCACCAATCAGAAGCTGCGCCTTGGTTTTTGAACATTTTGAAAGTAAAACAGACTTCCAGAGCGGATTAAGTTTGGCCCTTTTGTCTTTGCTATTTATTTTGTGTTTTTGTTTTTGATGCTTTTTCGGTTAATTTTGTTTTTGTGACTGTGTGGAACCCAGTTCAGCTACTGATTGATTGATCGATTGTGTGACTGCGGAAATGGATAAAAGCCCCCCATCCAAACAATGACTATCATCAGTACAGGTAAGAAAAAATAATAATTTTAATTTTTATCATCTACAATACTGATTATTGCTTTCATTTTATGGATCCATGGTCTCGTTAGGTAGTAAAATTCATGTTAAATTACTGTTTTAGGGGTCGTTTTTAAAAGTCTAGTACAGATTAATCCCTTTGGCATTACTTTCTATGGGAAAGCTCGCCTTGGTTTTGGAATGGATCTCCCGAAAGAATATAAGAATTTGTAGAAGATACTTTTATCAGATGTGGTGGCAATGCAAGCTTATGAAAAAACATTTTTTCCAATCCGTTATATGCCATCCCCCCCCCATAATTTTGCATTGCCACCACATGATGAAAGTCCCTTCTACCTCTTTACATTTCCAACACTGATTTTCCCTTGTTTTATACATATTTTTTGCCAATTTAACCAGTTTTCAATACCACATAGCCATTGTTTTCATATAGTTCTCTTTAAGTCAGATCCAGGCCATGAATTTGAATTTCTATTGTGCTTTTAATTCTTCCTTTAAACTATTTTTAATTAATTTTTGCGATCAAAGAAAATAAAATATATCATTGCTCAACTCCCAAATGTGGGATTTCCAAAATCCCCCAATTTCCCTCCATTTTTTTCCAATTCTCTTTAAGTCAGGTCCAGGCTGTCAATTTTAGATCATTTCCCCATAATCTTTCGCAATCTGTCATTTGAATATTATGTCCCACATCTTTTGCCCACTCTATCATAACACCCTGGACCTCTTCATCCATTGTTTCCCATTCTAAGAACAAGTTATACATTTTCAATAATAATAGTAATAGTAATAGTAATAGTAATAATTTATTTATACCCCACCCATCTGGGCGGATTCCAACAAAAGATTAAAATACAATAATTCATCAAATACTAAAAGCTTCCCTAAACGATCATTTATCCATGGAGTTTTCTTGGCAGGGATACTGGAGTGGCTTGCTGGTTCCTCCTCCAGGTGGATCATGTTTGGTCAAAACTCTCCACTATGACCTGTCCATCTTGGGTGCCCTGCTTGGCATAGTTCATAGCTTCTCTGAGTTATTCAAGCCCCTTCGCCAAGGCAAGGCATGCAGATGACACAACCTTGATGGCAGAAAGTGAGGAGGAATTAAAGAACCTTTTAATGAGGGAGAAAGAGGAGAGCGCAAAATATGGTCTGAAGCTCAACATAAAAAAACCTAAGATCATGGCCACTGGTCCCATCACCTCCTGGCAAATAGAAGGGGAAGAAATAGAGGCAGTGAGAGATTTTACTTTCTTGGGCTCCATGATCACTGCAGATGGTGACAGCAGTCACGAAATTAAAAGACGCCTGCTTCTTGGGAGAAAAGCAATGACAAACCTTAGAAAGCATCTTAAAAAGCAGAGACATCACCTTGCCAACAAAGGTCCATATAGTTAAAGCTATGGTTTTCCCAGTAGTGAAGTATGGAAGTGAGAGCTGGACCATAAAGAAGGCTGATCGCCAAAGAATTGATGCTTTTGAATTATGGTGCTGGAGGAGACTCTTGAGAGTCTCATGGACTGCAAGAAGATCGAACCTATCCATTCTTAAGGAAATCAGCCCTGAGTGCTCACTGGAAGGCCAGATCCTGAAGCTGAGGCTCCAATACTTTGGCCACCTCATGAGAAGAGAAGACTCCCTGGAAAAGACCCTGATGTTGGGAAAGATGGAGGGCACAAGGAGAAGGGGACGACAGAGGACGAGATGGTTGGACAGTGTTCTCTAAGCTACCAGCATGAGTTTGACCAAACTGTGGGAGGCAGTGGAAGACAGGAGTGCCTGGCATGCTCTGGTCCACGGGGCCATGAAGAGTTGGACACGACTAAACGACTAAACAACAACAAAGTCATTTAGTGTCACTTTCCATTATTTCTCTCTGGAAATTGGAAATTTCACAAGTCACTCCCACCGTAGTTGCAAACTTCCAGCAGATTAAGGTCCGGGTCTCGGAAATAAACAGATTTTATTGGGCCAAGCGCCCCAGTTCTGACCACTGGGCCTTCTTCAATGCTGACCCCACATACCTAAAAAAAGCGACAGGGGAGGAAATGAAGGAAACGAAAATGAATGAAATGAAATGAAATGAATGAAAAAATCTAAAATTCCATCAAAAACATTGAGGGCCATTTGCAACGTCACACTGCTCCTGCAATGCCAATCCCCCCCCCCTTTTAAATTGAGTGTTACAACTATTCCGTTCATTGTTAAAAATAAAATAACACCTAAAAAACAGTAAACAAAAAACACACAAGAAACACCAGAACCTAAAAGTATGAGTCAACTAATAATAATAATAATAATAATAATAATAATAATAATAATTTATTTCTACTCTGCCCATCTGGCCACTGATTGTTAAAAATAAAATAACAATTTAAAAAATATTATTTTTCTGCTCTACTTTATCGGAAGGAGAAAAACAATCATTTCCGTAACAACGAAACAATTTATGTAACTAAAACAATAACATGATAGCATATGTATCCATGTTTGTTAACTGATGTGGTTAAACCATTTCCCCCCCAAAAAACCACACCTTAGGATGAGTTTTAGCACACATGAAAAACTTTAAACAAATCCTTATTTCCTGATGAATAGCCTTTGGACTATAATGTAACTGAAATAGAAAACTATCTTTGGGAAGATTTTTCCTCCAAAAGCATTTTATTAAAAAAAACAACAATTTAAATTTTTAAAAATCCGATTTAAATTTAAAAAACCCGATTTAAATAAAAAAATCTGATTTAAATTTTAAAAATCTGACTTAAATTTAAAAAACCAATTTAAATAAAAAAGCCGATTTAAAATTTAAAAATAGGAATATATTTTTTTAAAAAAATCCATTGATTTTTATCCACCCTGGTTGCAGCCCCTGCCTTGTGGGATGTAAACACAGGAGCAGTCAATGACAACATTCCTAGAGTGTACATGTTAGAACATGGGGAGGGATGTCTGTCCAGCAAGCAGGTAAACTTCCTGGGGACGGACTTCCTCCACATGTGACCAGAGGTGGGTGTGGCCTCACCTGTGCAGGTAATGACAAAAGCACAGGGCAGGCAGCCATCTCTCTCTCTCTCTGCCATTTTCCTTCGATGAGGAAGCATGTAAAGATGCCCTCTTGGCTCTCAGCCAAGAGAGGAGATAAGGTCTATCTTGCAACAAGATAGATTCTAAGTATATGTAACTTTTTAAGCCTGTCTGCCTTCTGGGATCATGTTGTGAACAGAACGTGAGTAAACTCTTTTATACTTTTATAAAGACTGTGTCGTGTCTTGTATTTTAAGAGGGAATAAAGGGGAAATTACCAGAGTAATTATTATAGAGGTTCTAGCGAACCTGTGCACACGTTACCGTTGCGTACTTAAAGGGGAATGTATATAAACTCTGCTATTTTGGGAACTTGTTAGCACAAGTTGGATAAGGATATAATTAGTCAATATATCCTCTCCTGCACCCCAGAACATTCCCACATGCCTGACCTTCAGGTGTTCCACCAGCTGTTCCAGAGGCATCTCTGTGACGAGGCAGAGGTCCAAAGAGCCAGGAGTCGGCTGGTGGGCTTTGGGTTCGAATTCCTTCCCCACCTCATGGAGGTTGAACTTATGTTGGCCAAAATGCAGAGCTTGGCGGTTTCCCTGTGAAGGCAAAACGTAGCCTGGAATGACGAGGTGGGAGACAAGAGGGACTGGGCTTGGCAAATACAGCATTTGATCATGGTAGAGATATAGCCGTTCCGGAATTCTGTTCCAAAACTGAGGCACGCTTTCCCATTGGGGGGGGGGGGAAAGCAAAACGTCCATGACCAGAAAGAGGAGGAGTATCAGGAAGAGTGGAATAAATTTAAAGATTATCTACTTAAATTTGTTAAGTTAAATTAATTGAAAATAGCTTGCAGATACTTAATTGGCTTAGGATTTTATTTATGTTAAGTGATGAATTAATATGTTTAATTCCACAAGGTGAAGATTTAAGGATGCTAATGTTTAAGTTGAATTTCATAAGAATTGGGATTTGGAAAAACTGTTAAAAGGACATGCAATGAAATTCAACCAAGGGGAAGCGAGGAAGTCACTTAACAAAGTTGATAAGTGTAATTTTTTAATAAGGCTATGGTTTATGTTTGTTTGTCTTGTGTGTTTGTTTGATTATAATATTGTGAAAACCAATAAAAATTTTGATTTTTTTTTTAATTAAAAAAAGCAAAACAGATTAATCCATCCCAGACTTTATAAAAACAGCAATTTGAGCTTGAGTTTTACTCTCTAACGAGACCATTGATTCCTAAAACGAAAGCAATCCTCAATGGACCATACTGTAAAATAAATAACACCGTCTTGGAGGTGATAAAGGGGTCGCCGTTCCCAGCACCTTGAAGGAGACGACTTCCATGCCGAGGACACGGGAGTAGAAGGCGGCTGTGTCCTCAATGCTCCGGACTGTCATCACCAGGTGGTCCAGCCGGTGGATCAGGCCCGGTGGGGCCGACTTGCTGCTTCGCTCCCGGGACATTTCCTGAGGAACCTGCAAAGCACAAGGAGAATTGCAATGACCCAGCGCAGGAGATTTATCAGTAAGACTTGATTTAAATCCTTTTTTTTTACAGAAAGACTCAGCCTTGCTGGCATCCTCCTAATATTGACAAGCAGAGGAAGGTTTCCTATTCGGAATAATAAAATCCCTTTTTTACGGAAAGGTTCAGCCTTTCCAGCATTGTCTTAATACAGTGGTACCTCGGGTTAAGTAATAATAATAATAATAATAATAATAATAATAATAATAATAATAATTATTATTATTATTATTATTATTATTATTATTATTTATTATTATTATTTATACACCGCCCATCTGGCTGGGCTTCCCCGCCACCCTGGGCAGCTTCCAAAAAAATATTAAAATACTATAATACATCAAAAATTAAAAAACAGGGCTGCCTTCAGATGTCTTCTAAAAGTCTGGTAGTTGTTTATTTCCTTGACATCTGCTGGGAGGGCGTTCCACAGGGCGGGCGCCACTACCGAGAAGGCCCTCTGCCTGGTTCCCTGTAACTTGGCTTCTCGCAGTGAGGGAACCACCAGAAGGCCCTCAGCGATGGACCTCAGTGTCTGGGCAGAACGATGGGTGTGGAGACGCTCCTTCAGATATACTGGACCGAGGCCATTTAGGGCTTTAAAGGTCAGCACCAACACTTTGAATTGTGCTTGGAAACATACTGGGAGCCAATGTAGATCTTTCAAGACCGGTGTTATGTGGTCTCGGCGGCTGCTCCCAGTCACCAGTCTAGCTGCTGCGTTCTGGATTAGTTGTAGTTTCCGGGTCACCTTCAAAGGTAGCCCCACGTAGAGCGCATTGCAGTAGTCCAAGCAGGAGATAACCAGAGCATGCACCACTCTGGCGAGACAGTCCGCGGGCAGGTAGGGTCTCAGCCTACGTACCAGATGGAGCTGGTAAACAGCTGCCCGGGACACAGAATCAGGGGCGCCGACTTATAAAAAATATTGGGGGGGCCCATGCTGGTCAAGGAAGGCTCCCCTCCTCCAAAGCAGACCCGATCCAGGCGGCTCCATAAAGCTCCTGGAGAGAGGCGGGGTGGGGGGGGGCGCGGAGAGACAATGCCAAAACTCAGGGGGCTCCTTGAGCCAATTGCCAGAGATGAGCCCCGCAGGGGGAGGCAGGGTCCTCTATAGCCCACCCCAGCTGCCCTTCTTGTATCTACAGCCAGTTTGGCAGGGAGCGGTGGAAGGGTCTGGAAGGAGCGGGGACCACCGCGGAGCACACATACCGGGAGCTGGAGAGGCGAGGCCCAGCCGAGAAGGGGCCAGCCCGGAAGGCGCAGCTTCACAGCCAAAGCTGTCCTCGGCTTGGGGAGCCGGAGAAGCTGTCGGGTCAGGGCCCTGGCGCAGGCCTAGCCGCTCCCGCGACGCCTCTTTGCTCCCGGGATCGGGGCCGCCAGCTCAGCGCTGGAGCCGAGGGAGCCCCCAGGCAGGCCTGCGAGCAAAGGCAGAGCCGCCGGGCGGTGGCTGCTTCTGCAAGGCGGCCGGAGAAGCGGGGACCCCCTCCCCTCCCTGCGTCCCCCCCACTCGCTCCCCCCTCTGAAACTTTGTTAACACTTCCACGCTGAGCCTCTGACAATAGGGGCGGGCCGAGGGCACGACGCGGCTGGGCCCTCTGGACTCGCGCCCCCCCCCAGATGTTGCGCCCGGTGTGGCAAAGCATAATATAACTAATAATTTTCTTAAATTATTGGGGGGGCCGAGCCCCCCCAAACGAATTTTTGAGGGGGCTCGGGCCCCCTCAGGCCCCATGGAGTCGGCGCCTATGCACAGAATTGACCTGTGCCTCCATGGACAGCTGTGAGTCCAAAATGACTCCCAGACTGGGGCACAGTTATCCCATTCAGGACCAGGGAATCTTCCACACCTGCCCGCCTCCTGTCCCCCCAAAACAGTACTTGTGTCTTGTCATGATTCAACCTCAATCTGTTAGCCGCCATCCATCCTCCAACCGCAGACACTCACACAGGACCTTCACCGCCTTTACTGGTTCTGATTTGAAAGAGAGGTAGAGCTGGGTATCATCTGCATACTGATGAACACCCAGCCCAAACCCCCTGATGATCTCTCCCAGCGGCTGCATGTAGATGTTGAAAAGCATGGGGGAGAGGACAGAACCCTGAGGCACCCCACAGCAGTTTCAGCTTAAGAACGGACCTCCAGAACGAATTAAGTTCTTACCCTGAGGTACCACTGTATTCTAAGAGTCCATGATCAGAATTCCCATCATAGGAATAACGGTCAGGAGTCAGAAAGTACCTGGACAGGTAAGGAGGAAATTCTGCACAGCAGTTGGGGGCGAAGGAACCGGAGGCTCAACATTTCCTGGTCTGAAGGTGGAGTTCGAACCGGTTTTGGCAAATTCAGCAAGCAAAAGACGCCCTCCCTGGGTCACATGTTGGAAAAATCATTCTCAGCTCTCTCGCCAAGTAAATGATTTGCCAACCCACCAGGGTTTGGGAGACAACTTTCAGCTGGGCCTCTGTCAAGGAAACTGGGTGCTTCTTGTATTTAGAGATGCTTTTGGCAAGGCATGTGGGAGAGCCGTTTTAGGAATGTGTCAAGATATGCGGTCGTTTGAAAGAGCTCCTTGGTTTTTTTAAATGCTTCTGGGCACAGCTAGAGATGTAAAATTTCCTGGAATTTTGAAGCCCGGTGGGTGGATATCCCCCCCCCCCCCGTTTTTCCCCGGAAAAAATGGAAATTTTGGAAATGTTGAAAACAAGTTGAGTGTGGAGTAGTTTTACAAATTGCGTGAAACGCAGTGTATGCTTGCAACAAAACAGGTAACCACCCCCCTTTCCCTTGAAATAAAAAATTAAGGTATATATATATATATATATATATATATATATATATATATGCTTTCGTAGATTTTCACGGGTACAGGGAATGCAGGTTTTGGTGTCCTCGGGTGTCTTCCCGTGTAAAAGTTGGGGTGTCTAGGCGACGTTTCGACGAGGTCTCACTCGTCATCTTCAGGCTGGTGCTTTCGGCTTCTTGTTACTGGAACAGAGCGGGATCTCAGTGTTTGAGTTCCTATAAATACTGTTGAGGAGGTGTGTGTATAGCCTCCAATGTTCTGGGCAGAAGGAAGTTCGCCAGGCTAGTGTGCCTTTTCTTCTTTTGTTCCGTTAATTACTTGGGGATATCTTGGTGATTCTGAGTGATATCCTGAGTACCACTTAGGTGGGTCATTAGGGGTGGATTAGTTGCTAAAGGCCTTCGTGTCTTGCCTCGTTGAACTTTAAGAAGAAAAGGCACACGAGCCTCGGGAACCTTCCGTCTCTGCCCAGAACATTGGAGGCTATACACCACACCTCGCTCAAACAGTCATTTATAGGAACTCAAACACTGAGATCCCGCTCTGTTCCAGTAACAAGAAGCCGAAAGCAACCAGCCTGAAGATGACGAGTGAGACCTCGTCGAAACGTCGCCTAGACACCCCAACTTTTACACGGGAAGACACCCGAGGACACCAAAACCTGCATATATATATATATATATATTCATACTGTAGCATTTGTGTTTGATTTTAAGAAATGTGTAATATGTTTAGGGTGTCTAAATTACTATGGGGTAGGGAACCAATGTGTTTTGGACTTCTATTAGCCCCGGCTAATGTCTCTATGAAGAGACATAGCTTCCCAATTCTGGATCCATGATACAAAATAGAGGATAATGGATAGAGCATTGCTAATTTACAAGTTCCCAGCCTTTGGAGGAATTTCCAAGAGCTGTTAACTTGCCCATGGTTGTATCGCCTCCACAGATAAATGAATGGATAAAAGATAGATAGATAGATGGATAGATAGATAGATAGATAGATAGATAGATAGATAGACAGACAGATAGATGAATGAAAGCTTAACTGGTGTAATGGGAATTGGGGTTGCTCGTGCGTAAAGGGTGCTGATGCTCTAGGCAAAGTTGCCTGGCTAAACCTTTCCCTGGCTGGACAGCCCTTTCTCCATGGCTGTGTCAGTCCCTGGCAGAATCCGACAGCGGGCGTTTCCTGAACTTCCTCCAACATAAAAATTCCTTGACGCCAAGTCTCCGCCTAGCCTCCCTGCGCGGAAGTCTTCTGCGCAGAGTAGGCGTGGCTAGCGGAGGTCCTGGACTCTCCCCGCTGGTCTCTGTGGAAGAGTCTTGGAGCCCTCTCTCCGAAGTTCTTCCCGGCTCCCCTTCCTCCCCGTTGTCACGCTGATTACCTTCCCAAATGAAGTGTTCTCTCTCCCTCTGCTGGTCCCTTCTCCTGCATCACTGGGGAGCCTTACCTCCACTCTAGGCTCCGATGGCAGTTCCCTGACAACTGGCAATATATTTAAAATCAGTGGCAGGCCTGTCCACCCAAACTTTATTTTTAATTGACTGAATAGTAATGAAAACAGCGACACTTTTTACATAATTAAAAACAATCAAATCAGATGATAATTTTAGGTTATATGTTAGTGCTTAAGTTTTAATTTATATATTTTTTAACTCTTGCTATATCTGTATTGTCCCTGTTATACCTAATTGCAAACTCAAATGTATCCCTGTTGTGTTTTATGACTGTTATGTATTGAAGTTCTGACCCTGGCCACCAGGGGTATCATGTATATAGTTTTCCCTCAGGTCCATATCAGTTAATTTAGACGGGAAACCCTGGGATGTTGTTATTACAATGTTGACCGCCGGCTGCCTATAAAATCAGGCCAGCTGAGCTGTTTGCTGTTCAGTTCAGTTCCAGCTTATTTATAAAGAACTACTTGGAGAAATCTCTGTGTCGTCTGCTTTGCCAACCCACTACCTAATAACGACTTCCTTGATATTGTATGTGGGCTGGAACTGGTCTGTGACCGAAATAATAAAAGTCATTCATTCGTTATTATTATATTTTTATTTATTTATTTATTTATACCCCGCCCATCTGGCTGGGTTTCCCCAGCCACTCTGGGTGGCTTCCAAGAAAAGATTAAAAATACATTAAAACATTAGTCATTAAAAACTTCCTATCTTTCCTAAAGATAGGGTATCCCCCCCTTTTTCATTCAATGACATAGAAGCATAGAATTGTAGAATTGGAAGGGACCCCGGGGTCATAAATTCCAAACCCTTGCAACGCAGAACTCTCCACGAAAGCTTCGCTGTCAGGATGGCTATCCAACCTCTGCTTAAAACCTCCAGTGAACGCAAGTCCACCCCCTTCTAAAGGAGCCCATTCTTACTGCCTGAAAGTTCTTCCTGATGTTTGGTCATAATCTCTTTCTTGTAACTTGAAGCCACTGGTTCATGTCCCTCTGGAGCAGGAGAAAACAAGCTTGCTCATCTTCCATGGACAGCCCTTGAGATATTTGAAGATGGTTATCCTATCTCTTCTCAGTCTCCTCTTATCCAGACTACAAACCCAACTCTGACTTAAGGTCAA